GACAGCAGCTGCCTGCCCATTGATGCTTGTAGTATTAATGTAATGTGGTGGTATTGCCTTGGCTTTTTCCAGCTTGCCTTCGGTACTCGTGATGAATTAGGGAGTGGAGGAGCCTGCTTAAAACTTGTGCACAGTATTGTATATCACATTCACACGGCCGGGCCAAAAAAAAGGTCACCAACTGGATTTCGCTAAGCAAATTGGTAAGTGCCTTCAAATGGATAAGTATTATGATCTGGGGTTGGTTCGGCAGGTCAGGTCTAGGTTCAGCAATGTTATGTCCCCCAAAAAATTAGGTCAGCTGCCTACCTGAATGTACTGATTGACCTCTGATAGTATGGGTGTATTCCAAGATGAGAATGCCAGGACTCATTGCGCTCAGATTTTGAATGAGCAGTTCAGAGAGCATGAGACATCATTTTCACACATGGATTGGACACCACAGAGACCTGAACCCCATTGAGAATCTTTGGGATGTGCCGGAGAAGACTTCCCATAGTGGCCCAACTCTCCCATCATCACTACAAGATCTTGGTGAAAAATGAATGCAGCTCTGGATGGAAATAAATAGAGGTGCACCGAAATTAAAATTTCAAAACCGAAATGAAAAAAAGTGTCAGGCCCAAACTGAAAATGTTTTTTGTTTTTTTTTCCAAATATTTTTATTTAATTTAATTTTTCTAACCCCTTCATGACTGAGGCCTTTTTTTCATTTTTTTGTACCCATGTTATATTCCACATTTTAGGCCTGAAAATTACTTAAAACCCCCCAACATTATATATTTTCTGAATGCCAAGATCCTATAGAATAAAATGGTGGTAGTTGCAAATCTTTATGTTGCCCAATATTAGCGCAACTCCTTATTAAACCCCAATATTTAGTGAAAAATTTAATTAAATGCCCCAAAACACAACAAAATACCTGTACGTCGTCAGTCACGAAGGGGTTAAACGTAATTTTTTTTATTTAATTTTTATTTTTTTAAATTAAATATTTAAATGTATTAACTTTACTGTTGGGGGCTTCTGGGAAATATTAGGAGTCTAAACAGACCCCTGATATTTCCCTTTTAAAGTAGAAAAGGAGATTGAGGGCACATAGTCCTCAAGCTCTTATTCTGCAGCCCCTGTTATAAATGACAAGGAATCCTCTATACTGAGTGTTCCTGTTCATTTATAACTTGAGGATATAGTAGGTTTACCATGTCCACAGTCATGACTGAACAGTAAGTGATGTACATCATTTCCCATTCATTCATAATTGGGGACAGGGTAAACATACTTTTGTCCTCAATTATGTACAAACACTCACTGACTGCCTGTACCCGTTCTCCATCTTGGATCGGCTGTCACAGGAGGCTAAGTGAGCGGTGCTGGGAGGAGGTCTCGATCTGACAGCTGGCTCCTCCCCTGCACCACCGGCTGGCCTCCTGTGACAGCTATCACCGCTCACACACCGCTGCTCTCCCGATCACAGTGCTCTCCTCCCGCTCCCCTTGGCCTCCTGTGACAGTTTCTCTCCTCCCCGCAGAGAAGCGCCCAGGGCGTAGGTGAGAAACTAACAATGCACCACTATTTTGGCAAAATTTTTTTACTTTCGGCATTTTGGCAACCGATATGTTCTGGCGGCCGATATATCAGTGCATCCCTAGAAATAAATGTCATGGCATGCAGTGATCAAAAGTAATGGTGGTCCCAAAAAATATTAAAGAGTGTTTTGGCCAAGCAGTGTGTGTGTGTATGTATATATACACTGAGTGGCCAGATTATTATGACCACCTGATGTTTGTAGGCAAATTAGCTATAATTTCGCGCTGAAGTTGCTAGAGGGAAGCAGGTTGTTTACTACGACGGTAGAAGTGATTTTTTTTTCTGAAGATACGGGTAAACAACGCGATTGAACAGCCTTTGAACGTGGGATGATTGTTGGCGCTCGGAGCCATGGAGCGAGTATCAGCAAAACAGCAGAATTCGTTAAATGTTCAAGAGCAGCTGTTGTTAAAGTGTTTAAAGACTGGACTGTCAGCCGAAAATCTGGGTCTGAACGTGCGAATTGTGGCCGTCAGCGACTAGTCAATGTTAGGGCAGAACGGAGAGTGGCAAGACTGGTACAAGACAACAGAAGGGCAACAGTGCATCAAATTACTGCAGATCTTAATCGGGGATCCTCTCAAATGATCTCTGAACGCACTGTTCGCCGTACACTGCATCGTATGGGATATGGAAGCCGAAGGCCTGTTCGAACACCTTTGCTGTCTGCAGTTAACAAGATAAAGCGTCTCCAATTTGCACAGGAACACAAGGATTGGACAGTCGAGCATTGGAAAAAAAGTCATGTGGTCCGATGAATCACGTTTCCAGTTGCATCATGCAGATGGCAGAGTGAGAATTTGGTGGGAACAGCATGAAAGCATGCACCCCACATGCATGAGTACAACCCTTCAAGCTGGTGGGGGTAGTGTTATGGTTTGGGAAATGTTTTCCTGGCATGATTTGGGCCCTTTAATTCGTGTGGAACAACGTCTGAATAGCACAACATACTAAAGTATCGTTGCTGATCAAGTTCATCCGATCATGTTGATGGCGTATCCCAATGGAGATGGCTTCTTCCAACAAGACAATGTGCGTCAGCAAAAAAATCATTTTGGATGTTTCCTTATTTTGTTTTTTGGGATTTGGGTCAATTTGTTTTCGGCATTCGGACGAATTAAACATTTTCGTTAAAATTATAATTGCGTTGCAGAAAAGTGACATTAAATGTTTCCTTTTTTTTTTTTTTTTTAACTTTTGACAGTCCACAGAAACAATAAAAAAAAAAAAGGGGTGTTCCCTGCGGCAACCCAAGTTCCCGGCGCAGGAATACCAAATCGCACATAAAATATGGGTTTGAATAGAACCTAAATGATGAGATAAATACCTTTAAACATACATGTTTTAAAGAAATATCTCATTCAGTCTCCAGTGCGTACACTCCTCTACCATCACTGTGTCTTTGATGCGTACACTCCTCTATCCTCACTGTGTCTTTGATGCGTACACTCCTCTACCCTCACTGGGTCTTTGATGCGTACACTCCTCTACCCTCACTGGGTCTTTGATGCGTACACTCCTCTACCCTCACTGGGTCTTTGATGCGTACACTCCTCTACCCTCACTGGGTCTTTGATGCGTACACTCCTCTACCCTCACTGGGTCTTTGATGCGTACACTCCTCTACCCTCACTGGGTCTTTGATGCGTACACTCCTCTACCCTCACTGGGTCTTTGATGCGTACACTCCTCTACCCTCACTGGGTCTTTGATGCGTACACTCCTCTACCCTCACTGGGTCTTTGATGCGTACACTCCTCTACCCTCACTGGGTCTTTGATGCGTACACTCCTCTACCCTCACTGGGTCTTTGATGCGTACACTCCTCTACCCTCACTGGGTCTTTGATGCGTACACTCCTCTACCCTCACTGGGTCTTTGATGCGTACACTCCTCTACCCTCACTGGGTCTTTGATGCGTACACTCCTCTACCCTCACTGGGTCTTTGATGCGTACACTCCTCTACCCTCACTGGGTCTTTGATGCGTACACTCCTCTACCCTCACTGGGTCTTTGATGCGTACACTCCTCTACCCTCACTGGGTCTTTGATGCGTACACTCCTCTACCCTCACTGGGTCTTTGATGCGTACACTCCTCTACCCTCACTGGGTCTTTGATGCGTACACTCCTCTACCCTCACTGGGTCTTTGATGCGTACACTCCTCTACCCTCACTGGGTCTTTGATGCGTACACTCCTCTACCCTCACTGTGTCTGCGGTGCGCACACTCCTCTACCCTCACTGTGTCTCCCTGGCGCACACTCCTCTACCCTCACTGTGTCTCCCGTGCGCACACTTCTCTACTCTCACTGTCTCCCGTGTGCACACTTCTCTACTGTCACTGTCTCCCGTGCGCACACTCCTCTACCCTCACTTTGGGAGAAGTGTGCGCACCAGAGACACTGTGTAAACGGTGCGCACGCTCCTCTACTCTCACTGTGTCTCCGATGCACACGCTCCTCTACCCTCACTGTGTCTCTGGTGCGACCGCTTCTCTGCCCTAACTGTGTCTCCGGTGCACACACACTTCTCTACCTTCATGGTGTCTCTGGTGCGCACGCTTCTCTGCCCTCACAGTGTCTCCTGTGCACACACTCCTCTGCCCTCAGTGTATCCTGTGCACACACTCCTCTGCCCACACGGTGCTTCAGGTGTGCATGCTCCTCTGCCTACACGGTCACTCCGGTGCGCATGCTCTCCCTGCCCACACGGTGTCTCCGGTGCGCATGCTCACCCTGCCCTTGCGGCGTCTCCGGTGAGCATGCTCTCCCTGCCCTCGCGGTGTCTCCGGTGCAGACACCCTTCGCTGTACTTCTAGAAAGCAGTGTGGAGCAATCTGGAGCTCTAGCTATGTTATATAACTCTTTTGTCCAGCATATAGCTGGGTGGAAGCCATTTGCACGGCACCACCACTACAAGACCCTGATGAGCCTTACGCTCCGCAGCACCGTCTAGTGGCGGTAGTGCAGTTAGAATAGCATTCTAGTGATATGCTGCATGGGCCATAAACTGGTATTATACTATGTACTGGGTAAGGTCCCCATGATTGACAATAGTGAATTCGTTGTAAAATGTTGGAATGTTCAGAAGTTTTTGTTTGGCCTGAACAGGTAATATTCCGAATGAGATGATTACCTGGAGTTCTTATAGTGGAATGGGATCTACTTGTGGAAGAGTAAAGGTCTTATGATTGCAGTCCACAGACTGCAGATAATTATACTGATCAATGCACGTTCTGTGTCACCAATGTAGAGATCACGTGACAGATTCTCTGGTGGGGGTCACAATGGAGTCCTGTCACCTTCTGATCCTTCACAGAGCTGTATACAGGGAAAATGACAGGAGTGGGCGGGGAACCCGGAGCGAGACGCGCGATTGGTGCAGGCAGTGGGTGTGATGTAGCCGCTCCATCCAGTCACATCGCGGTCTGGGCGTGTCTCCAGTGTGTGCATTGTCCTATACCCGGCAGGACCGGGGAGCTCGGTGTACTCGGTGCGGCCTCTCCACCTCCAGCTCGGTCAGCTGTCACTCATGCTGCACACAATGTGGCCCCGGTGGGCTCTCCAAAGGGGCCACTCCATGGGCTCTCTCCGGAGACTCTACCATGGAGACAAAGTGGCCACGATCGGATCCGCAGCCGACACTAATTCCACATCATACCAGGTAGGCCTGACACTGTCAGGGTCAAACAGACTGCTGGAGGATTGTATGCAGCCTGTCACCAGACACAGACATGTATGGGCGAGCACTCACCCTGCAATATGAATCGTGATATCAGGAGTGCAGAGATCAGTGCTGTGCACAGGAGCATACGATCAGTGCTGTGCACAGGAGCATACGATCAGTGCTGTGCACAGGAGCATACGATCAGTGCTGTATACAGGAGCATACGATCAGTGCTGTGCACACGAGCGTACGGTCAGTCATGTGCACACGAGCGTACGATCAGTCATGTGCACACGAGCTATACAGGAGCATACGATCAGTCATGTGCACACGAGCGTACGATCAGTCATGTGCACACGAGCGTACGATCAGTCATGTGCACACGAGCGTACGATCAGTCAGTGCACACGAGCGTACAATCAGCCCTGTGCTCACGAGCGTACAATCAGTCCTGTTCTGATGGGCAGTATGATTGGCATTGCAGACATATTCACAAAATTGAAATGAAAAATAATATCAGATAAAAAACACATTGGTGGTCAGTGAGGGGCCCTCTTAAGAATAATAATAATATGCAGCGCTGTGGGTCCAGATAGTAACTAGTTAAATGGGTCTAATCTAAAGGATATTGGTAAGACAATAACCGCAAATTGTGCATAAATATAAATAAATAAACAGACCTCTTTTGGTCCAAATTGTGCAAAGAATGCAAATGGTGCATATAAATACGAATAAATATATATATTGTACATTTATGTACTAAAGATATAAACCATTACCTCATATAAACTGTAAATCACTACTGATCAAAATTGTGCAAAAAGTTCAACATTGTGCAGTAAATATATATATACAGATGAATATACATATAAATATGAGTGCAAAAATATAAATTCATGAACTATAAATACGATTTATACATAAAGTGAAAAAAATCCTAGTAGAGAATATATAAGTCCATAAAAGTCCAAAGCCTTATATCATATCCAAAGTGTGTGCAAAAAAAGAATCCCAAAGGTGCTTGATGATCTTTCCAGAGATCGTGTTTGTGTCCACGCCAACACCCCCTCAAGAGTGCACACTTGCCGCAATTTTATTGTATATTAGCCACAGGTAGCTCACTGATAGACCACGATGTCCCAGCGTCTATTTTATAAGCTCTCACAACGATGTCCCATAAATCGATAGATTGCCATAGTTATAAAAAGAAAAAACTCCTCATTGTATAGTATATCAAGACCATTTATTAAGATAAATATAAAAACTCACATTCAAAAATGAAATAACCGGCCGCCCCTGGGGGCGGACCTGTCTGATATGATATCACACTAAACACGGAAGTGCGGGCTCCTGTTTGCTGAATCTGACCGGCCGGTTATTTCATTTTTGAATGTGAGTTTTTATATTTATCTTAATAAATGGTCTTGATATACATTGTACCAATATCCTTTAGATTAGACCCATTTAACTAGTTCCTATCTGGACCCATAGCGCTGCATGTTATTATTCACAAGCTGGACCAGGGTGTCTATAGTGCAGCAGCTGTAAAAATATCTAATAGTTCTCTAGGGCTACCCATAAGCGCAGATTTGACATTATTCTCAAGGGCCCTCTTATATTGGTGGTCAGTGAAAGGTCCCGTTACATTGGTGGTCAGTGAAGCGCTCCCTTCATCATTGATGCTGTGCTGTGTTCATTGCTTCCATGCCCCTACATGCAGCATTCTGGGTACATCGGGTGCCGTTTTGTAGGTGTTCTTCTAGGAAAACCTGCATCCATTGTTGTAAGTGAAATATTGGGGTGACACCGACAATCTGAGACACGTTTCTTATATAAGAGACCTATCAGTCAGTTGGCATGTTCGTTTCCTAAGAAGGTTGTGCTTATAGATGGTGGTATATGAAGAGTAGATGTGAATTAATCCCGTACTTTATGTTTACAATTCTCTAGGAAAGTTACGAGAGAATGAAAGCATTAGTATGTGAACTCAAGGAGAAAGCAGAAAAGATACGTCTTGGTAAGTCTTCATTGAGGGTCTACCATACACCAGGGTGGAACATGGCTTGTAAAGACTCTACGGGCCCCCAATTAAGGGTTTGTTCACAGCATGAAGTGTTGTTGATGTGCATTGCCATTAATTGCCCCCCAGGGCACATCTATGGTGCGTTTTTATATAGAGTGGTTCATGTTAAACTGTATCTGTTTGTGTGTAAACCACAAATAAAGTCTCTTCTCTTATAACACACCGAACATGTGCAGATGCCCGCGGAGTTGGGCTGCAAAAACCGATGCAGGGATTCATTCTTCATGCGTGGACTGTCTATTAAAAATGAACATGCTGCATAATGCAATGGGCCTAAACATATTTTGTCTGATTTACTAAAGGAGTTGAGAATCTTAACGCAAAAAATGTCATCATATGAAAAGCATCTGCGCGTGATTGGATTATTAGAATGAGCCGGAAATTGCTTTTCACATGATTGAATATTGTTAGTGAATTATTCACATTCACCCTCACCGCCCTATGGCATGAATGTGCATTAAAGACATGGCGTTAATCTCTAGAATAATTTTTGAAAATGGCTTGTCACTGCATCAGCCGGGTGCACCTCAAAGTGGCATTTTTATCATTTGCACTGCAATGTGAATTACATTGCACATCCATATAGGGTGTAATTCCAGGCGGGTCATAGGTTGTGGCCTCTTCGGGGGCCCATGAGGTCAGCAAACCTGTTACTTTTGTGAATTCACATGACATTCTGTACAGAAGGTTGTTCTTTCAAATCCTGTTTTGCATTTAGTTGTCGGCTGTTTAAACAAAGGTTTACTGAATGAACTATATCACATTGTATTGTGTGAATAGGAATGCTGATGGTCTTTGGATGAGACATAAAGGGGCTAAAAGGAGAACTATGGGGTTAGGGCTTTTCCCCATAGTTCTCCTTAGCGTAACGGGAGGACACAAACTAGCATCCTCCCGTCACCCTAGGCTCAGTACATCGCGAGCTGTAGCTCACCGTATACTGAGACGCTGAAGCGGATCCCGACAATTGTGCCGGGATCCGCCCAGCTGCGTGAGTGACAGCTGGCTCTGCCTATCTAGAGGCAGAGCCAGCTGTACCCGCCCCCTCCCCCGTCCGTTCCGCCAGTCAGCGCTGGTGGATCTGGAGCGGGGAGGGGGGAATCCAGCCCCTCCCCTGTCACGGCAGAGAGCCGTGACAGGATCGAGAGGTGAGCAAACCCCGGTATGTGTTCGCACACCTCCAGATCTACTGAGCCAACCTGTGACAGTCTCATTGTCACAGGTCGGCTAGAACTATGAGGTGAGTGAAAAGCACTCATCTCATAGTTCTCCGTTAAGATTTTACACCAGTGCCATAAGTAAGATTCTACACCAGGGCCCTGTGGCTCATTGTTACATCTCTGTCCTCTACTGAGGTGAAAACAGACAAATCACTTTATTCAGTTGAAGTTCTGTTTCACAGACTGGCAAGAATGCAGCTCCCTGGTATAACAGGATGCACACATGCAGAATTATTGAATGTCAATGCATGGATTCATATTGCTTATTAATAAATGTCCAATATCCCAGATAGCAAGCAATTGAGCTGCAAGTTTGAAAATGACTTGCTAAACTATTGCAGACTTGCCAAGCTTCACAATTTTGTTGCACAATTACAGCAAGTGTGCATTGCAAGTCTCCAGATCAACGTGCTTTGCAAAAGTGCTGTACACTAGCAGAGCTCTTGCTAAGACATGCAGGACTCTTGCTGTAGACTTGCCAAGCAAATCTGCTACAAATTCAAAAAGTGTCAACTAGAACTTGTGCTGCGAGTGTTCTGCAAGTCTACAACTTGCCAGGAATGTGTGCAGCAAGTTAACAAGAATTACAATTTAACCCTGCCACAAGTTTGTAGCAAGTTATCCTTGCTATCTGGGATGGTGTTCCTTATCAGTCCTAACATTTTCCAAAGCTTACAGTCGGTTATAGACATTAAAGGGCTATTGGACCCTGACAAGATCTGACTGCCCTCTGTTGGTTGTGTCGTCTGGGGGTCAGGGTCCATAAGCATACATAGCTGAGGGTATACTTTGTAGAGAAGGGTTGGAAGCCACTGGCAGACCCCACTGGTGCAACTCATCAAGGGGACCCCATTACGGTCTGTAGCTTGGACATATCTGGTACCGCCCATAACTCTACATTAAGACCAACCATTCATGGTTTAGTATTCTCTTAACAGACCTGTCCAGCACTTAACAATAGGGCTTAAAGGGCACCTGTTGGTACTATAATGTTCCTAAATTTGCTCCAGGATTGAAATTGTACAAAATACAGGCAGCCATTGTCTGTATATACTTTTTGATGTCTTCTCCAGATCTTTAGACGTTCATTCTCACGTTATGTAAAGTTTTATTAAAACTACAATAAAAAACTACTGAAACTTAGTTGTTTTACCACCTACATTTCAAAGGTACTGGGTTATGATTGGTTCTAAGCATTACTACAGGGAAATGTCCATAGGTGACAGTCTGAAACATTTTCTTTACTTCATTGTATGTGTCAATAACAGAATTTTCTGATACAAGTGCACCTACTTCCAGCTTCATAGCTTCTCTCTAAATTGACACATGAACATCACTTTCTTTTACACAATTGTAGGTTGCCTGTTGTTAAACATATGACCTTGTTACAGGAGGAGGAGAGAAGGCCAGAACACTCCATACTTCAAGAGGTAAACTGCTTCCACGGGAGAGGATCGACAGACTCATAGATCCTGGGTATGCAGGAAATCTATTTTCTATGTCTTTGGTACTTCACTATGGTCTGATGCTCCTTTTATAGTCTTTTTTTTAACCTACTTGTAAGTCGGTGTTAATGTAAGCCAAGGTAGAGCAGGTTAACAGGGCCAGTTAGAGAGGAACTTCACTCTCCCTTAACCCCATCTTACCATGTCTGCTGGATTAAGCTCAGATACCATTCCCACCCACCCAGCGAATCCAGCATTGTCCTGCTGTGTGCTGCCGATCCCCTGTGAGGCCGGTTCTGAGCTGTCATCTTCCTTTTTAACGTCATCTGGAGTCGGCCGTCTCTTCCTGGTTCAGGCTGCCAGCCCTCTGATGACACTCCATTCCTCAGCAGTTCTCTGTAAGGTGATGCCTCCTGGAATATCTGACATGGATATCTCAGGAGGCTGCTAGAGCGTGGTACATGTCATCCTTACCTAGGCGAAAATGGAGGGAGGGGTGCGGGCTGGACTGGACCAGCAAATAATGGTAAACATATGACCGTATCAGCTTTTATGACTGCAGAGGAGTGAAGGTTCAAAGGATCCAAAGTGCTTTCGGAGAGTGAAGGTCCACTTTAACTTTCCCAGCAGCACACACCTTTCCTTCCATTCTATTCCCTGCTGGTGCTCCTTTAAGGGGTCAGAAGTAAGGAAAAAAAAAGTAAGGAAAATTATGGAGGCTGCCATTGGTGATAATTCCTTTTTAAAAATGCTAGGTGACTGACATGCTAAAGCATTGTTTTAATGCTTCCTAAACCACTAACCCAGAGCAAGTCTAGAGATAAGGAATTCCAAAAGCCTTTCTTCAACACAAAATCCAGTTCCACTTAGTTACATAGAACATTAGAAGATTCCTCATGGCCTGAGGTGCACAAATAATTGAGCAATTCAGCTGCATGAGAGTGATGCCTTCACTATGCTCTTCTGGAAACTTAATGTTCTGATCTTACCATTTCAGTTTGAAAGACTGCCATAAAGATATGACTTGCAGGGTTATTCACTCAGCTGCTGGAGGCAGCTGAGTGAATAACTGAGCCGTCGTGAAGTGAGCCAAACAACGTTCGGCTATTCACTTTGGCTCAGTGCGACTGATTTCAGCAGTACAACGGCTGCACTTCGGTCAGCCAAAGTGCAGAAGGACTTCGACTCAGCCGATCCAACATCTGGTTCGGCTGAGCCGAAGCTCCAGCAGCTCACTCGCTGCCGTTTTTTTTTTAATATTTAATTTTTATTATTTTTACAAAAAAACATAAACAACATATTTTAACATACAGTGTGTTACATACTTATAATTATAATCAAATTTCAAATACAGTTTAATGATTTTTAAAAACAAAACACACAGAAAAAAAAAAAACAACAAAAACATACAAAAATTTACACTACACTACCATATAAGGGGATTCCGGCAACCTTTAATATTCCTTCAATACAATCCTATTCTAGAGCACTTCAAAATAGCACTGTGTATTATCCCAACCCCTAGTCCATCTATTCTATTACTATACAACCCCTCTATCCTATATCCTCCATATATCTCGAGGATTTTTTAAACTCAATTCATTGTTGCCAGGTACTTTCAAATTGTTTATACGTATCCCTCCGTATTGATGTCATTTCCTCCATCAGTCGATAATATTCTATTCTTTTCTGAGGTACCGTGCAGAATAGCAAGTAGTGAAAAAAATTGAAAAAAAACATGTTTAAAAATGTAAATTAAAAAAAATACATTTATAAAAAGAAATAAAGATTTTTTTAAAAAGAAAAAAAAAACAATTGGGTGGAGCTAGCAGTGACAGCTAGCTGTGCCCAACTGTTCCCTATTGGTCGGCACCTGCTAGAGTCTTCTAGCAGATCCCAGCCAATTGATAACAACTGGGCGGAGCCTGCCATGACATCACGGCTGGCTCCAGCAAGTTGTTGTTGTTGTTTAATGATGGATCAGTGTCCCCAGGTGTCATTTGCAAGGCATACGGCCGCCCACCCCGCTTCGACTCAGTCAAGCCAAAGCATATGCCTCGGCTCGGCTGCCTTCGGGAGCTGCACGGGCTATAGTGAATAGCCCGTACAGCACTGAACTGAACCGGAGGGCTCCCGCAACCGTTGGAACCTAGCCAAAGGATCAGCCACCTTTGTGAATAGACCCCTTTAGTGCTAGCTAAGTGAGACGGCTTAGATTAGGATCGGATCACATCCAGGTAGCAGTGATGCAGAAATCCAGACTAGTTGCTTTAGGGCTCACAAGCATTTTCTCATTTTCCATGAATATAACTTAAATGTTTTCTGCTTGAAACTGAAACTGAGACATTATTTTTTTCCAGATCCCCTTTCCTGGAATTCTCCCAGTTTGCTGGTTACCAGTTATATGGTAATGAGGAGGTCCCTGCTGGAGGTGTCATCACTGGTATCGGTCGCGTATCTGGGTAAGATGGTCTCAAGAGTCTATGTGACACATTATCATCATTGCTGAAAGATTTGCCATTAAATACTGAGTTATTGAGATAACTAGAGTGAATGCCTTTTTCAGCGCATTTGCTGTTATGTTACATGTTCTGTGATGCCTGTCACAGAGGCATTATTTCAAAGGCTGACACTATTTATTGTCCTTTTACACCATGTGGATTGTGTTTTGATGATCAAAAATGCTTTTCGCCAGAAACAATACCCTATAGAACTCATCAGGAATGGTCTGATGAGGTTTTTGAAGATCATTTAGAGTTCACAGTCTTAGGCCGGGCTCACACCTGGGTGTTTTACAGCGCTGATCGACGCGCTGTAAAACGCTTAAACAGTGAAGTCCCATACTTCCCTATGGGGATGGTTCCCACCCGGGCGTATTTCAAAACAAGTACAGGAGCTTCTTTGGGGCATTTTTCCACGCGTTTCCATTGGTATTCCCGAGTGTGGCTCGGGGTTAACAAAGTGGTAACCCGGAGCCACACTCGGAATACAGCGTAGGACTTGCCTTGTCCGCGATCCCCGCTGTGTCCTCCGGCGGCTGCCGACTTCTGGGTTCCGTCCCTTGTGAGCGGCCACGTCGCAGGGGGGCGGAGCAGGCGGGAAGTTTGAAAGTGGACAAAAAATAAATTAAAAAAATAAATAGAGAAAATAAGGGAAAAAAAATCATACCGCCAGTGAAACGCGCGTTTCACTGAACGGAAAAACGTGCTAAAAAACAAGCAGAAAAAATACGCCCAGGTGTGAACCCAGCCTTAGATAACTATATTTATTATTGGGGGGCACATGAGGCCTCTGTACACTATGTAGCCAAAAGCTTTATTATGTCTGAAGTCTACGTGCATGATTTCTCTCATTAAACCCTGATGGAGGGGATGTGTTCTGGACCCCTAAAATGTGTTGGCTACTCTACTGGAATTCTCCCCAGACCTAATGGGGAAAAAAAGTTGTATCTGGCCCATTTTAATATTAATCTAATGTGCTCGCTGTTGAGCAAAGGATACTGTGGAGATCTTTGGATTGTGAAAGCTGCTTAGCCAGATCACCTATAGCCACATCACTTAACTACTGTTGAATGGGAAACACCAAGAGAATAATCACACGTGTCCAACACTTTCTATTCCACACTTGCAGATATCTGCCACAAGGTTGGAAGTACACAGTTGTCTAAAATGTTTTTTATGCTGTAGAAAACCCAGTACCCTTTAATCAAAACACTTGACCTTAATCATTTGGAGGGTGTCCACATACATTAGACAATATTGTGTAGCAAAAGCTCTGTTTATAGGAAGTCAAAGAGAGTAAGAAAGTTACTTCTTCTCTGGGGCTTTGCACCTTGATATAAATGCAGTATGTGATCTTTTTTTTTTTTTTAAGCTTGTGATAGCTGATACCAGTTTGAGTTTCTTTTTCACATGAAATTTTATTAAAGCGTCTTATCAGTTTATAAACTGACTTATTTGTTGACAGCTCCTAGTTTATATCTGGTTGCTACATGAGCACCATTGTATTTTTGAACTTCTGTCTACAGAGGAGGAGGGTAGAGCAGTGGGACCTCTTCATGTTGCTACATTGAGAGGTGAGAATCCAAAGTGCTTAAGCCTGAGCTTAACATCCCCTTCAAGCAGCAACAGCTTAATGTGACCCTAAACTTAGGTGTTAAAACTTAAAAATCATCATCTCTGAATTCATGCTGACACTGTCCTTCCTTCTGGAGGGTGGCTACTTTTGTGCCCCATGGTCTCTGTGTGTGTTGTAAAGTAGTCACCACTCCAAGCTTGCTCACGTGATGGACTACAATCTCAGTACAAATTGGTAAACTAAAGGACAATGTCGGCACAAATTCAGGGATGATTTGAGGATCTACAACCAAGTGATGCACAGATAGGCTTTTATGTTAATAGTTAAGGTACTTAAATACATTTTTAAGATTTAATTCCTGAGTTTAGTGTCACTTTAATGGAAAACACCAATTTTGCTAAACATTATATAGGAAATATAATCTCTACACAAACCACTTCCTGGTTTTAGTTTCATTATAATGAATACATCTGCTATAAAATTCAAATATCTCTTCCCTCCTTCCATAGTTTTACAGGGAATTCTCCGTAAACAGTTTGTGTACAGAACAGCCTCTAAAATCATCCGTAAAGGGATGCTCCATTTCATATGAAAATGGATTAGGTCACGGGTGTTTAAAGTGAAGGAAGGTCTTCCTACAGAGCTGTCAGTTTAACAAATGTCCCCGCAAGGTCATCATCAATCGTTTCAGAACAAAAGCAGGTACAAACCTGTAATTGTGTTTACCCGGAGGAGAACAGAACAGGAGTTACCTTTTTATAATATCGCTGCTTCTTGATACAGAGAAAGCTGAATAGCAGAGATGCCGGTGGGGGTGCCATGTCAAGAAATAGTTTGCAATTTATAAAAGCCTCTATTTCATCCTTTTTCACAGTGTCCTAGTTAGAAAAACACCTAGACCTAGGTCTGTAAGACTAAAAAATTACTATCGCCTAACCCTGTATAAATGCATATATTTTATATTTTTTTGATTGAGCTGATGGTTGAGGTTGCTTGGTGCAAGCCAACACATAACCAATCCAAGCACCTGAGTAGTAACCCTGGTTCTAGACTCCAGAGGTGGATGATATTAAATGAAATCTGTTGTAAATCAGACAAAGACATCCTTTCTGATGCAGACTGTCATTTTCTGATTCACAAGCTGCGCTCTCATTCCAGGCCAGTGCCCTAACTGGCATGTGCTTCTAAAGGCTGATGTGGCAGGTTTTGAGTGGGTTCAACTTTTTTTTATTTTTTTTTTTAAGTTCACTTACTGAGCCTATTCCTCAATTTCTTCTGCAGGATTGAGTGCCTGATTGTAGCTAATGATGCCACTGTGAAAGGTGGAACCTACTATCCCATCACAGTAAAGAAGCACCTCCGAGCACAAGAGATTGCAATGCAGAATCATCTCCCCTGTGTATATCTGGGTAAGCTTCGCATTAATAGTATTTTTTTGTTTCACTGCGACAGCTAAAACTTTAACGATGAGTCAAACGATTTAGAAAAATACTGGGGTTGCACAGATACCAAGTACAGTACTCGGTACAAGTACGAGTACATGTACCGATACTTTTGAACTCCAAGACTAGACTAGAGAAAAATTAAAAAAATTAGGAGGCAGCTGTCATTAGTAAGGAGCACACGGAGCTCCTGGGATTTGTACATCTCTGTTTTAATGTACGATTTTGTTTTTATAAATATAAATAAAGGGATGCTCCCTTCAAAAATGTTTTTATTTTTTTATTTCGGTCCCCTGTTGGATTGGTTAAAGTCATGGTATGAGCATTTCTCCATGTACCATGTACCCTCCTGGAGGAAGTGCCTGGAGATCTACATAAAGCAGCAATTTATATCTATTTAAAACGTTTATCAATGTCTCTTGGTATTGGTCATTTTGTGATACCCTTTGACATGTTTCCTTGTATTGCCCTCATTGTATATAAACATTTACAGATCCTTTATGTTTTAAATTATGTAAAATACTTGCCTATCTCTGTGCCATGTGCTGTTTGATAAAACTATAAACTGGCATGATGTATTTTCTTTGGCAAGTAGAAGTCTCCCTGCAAGTTAGGTATCTATAGATGTATGCTTAGCAATGGTAAAGGATGTATGGTTTAAGACAGGAGTAGGTCCACTAGATCTGGAGTGGCAAGGTTGCCTACTTCTACTGTCTAAGACCTTAGCACAGAAATACAGCTCTGTCCCTATTGTGTCTGCCACTGCATGGCTTCAAGCCAAGTAGCAAGGTCATGCCGGCCTGCTTAATACTCCATATATTCCTGTGGACACCACTGCTTGAACAATACAGCCATTATTCCATTTAGGTGTGCAGGGACTGATATGTTTAAAATGACAATGACCGTTTCTAGACCATTATGTTGTGTTTGCACATTCTTTGAAGAACTAAATGTCTGTAGTTGCAGCAGTTAGAGAATGTTACATCCATCCACAACATACATAGGTTATCTGTTAACATTTTACAATTACACTGCAGTGGATTCTGGAGGAGCAAACCTACCTCGTCAGGCTGATGTATTTCCAGATAGGGATCATTTCGGTAGAATCTTCTACAACCAAGCCATGATGTCTTCACAAGGAATCTCTCAGGTAACCAGATATGATTAATGATTTATTGATCACTTTGCAATTGGTTGGGAGAGAGCCTTATATTAAAGGAAAGCTTTCATGGGAGAAATATGGAGGTTGCTATTGTTGACTACTGAAAATGTTAGTTGCTAGGCTATATTGTTGAGTCGCTGACCCAGGACAAGTATGTAAATAGGGACATCTGACTTTCATGTCTGAATACTTGTTCTTGGTCATGGACTCTGGAAGCACCGAAACAAGTTGATGTGGATAACAGCCCAGCAACTCGCAGTTTAAAAAAAGAGATTGGAGCCACAACAGGAGAGTTTTTTTCAAAAATCATTTTACTTGTTAAGTTGAACGTGTTCACTTGATTGTCCCTTCACTGCCTATACTCACCTTCCCTTTATATACATGCTTCCCAGCACTGGAAATATCCAGTACTTCCAGGTATGTGGGAGCATGTGACTCATCTGCCTCCCAAGTTGCAACGCTGGATGCCTAAGTGGCCAATCACCGGGCCCCAGGCTTCTCCTTTGGGGGTGGAGAGATACCATTTTCAGAGGTTTATATTAAACCTACCATTTACAGGAACATTTTTCTTTTAAATAATAGAATCACTTTAATACTACATTCACACTGGCTAATATGTGCATCTGGGGTTTCTTAGGATTACCTGCAGATGCAGTCCAGGGACAGTTATCTATGCCAAAACGCAGGTAATCAAATGTACTATTACATGCGGACAGCCACTAATAGGTGTGGCCACTCTGCGCCTTTCATTAAATTAAACTGGCGCAGCATCTGTATGGACATACCTGGGATTCCTCCCACAAGAATCTGTAGATTTTGTCCTCAGGAATCCCCAGCTGGAGCTACTAGTCCTATGTCTTAATCTGCTGTCCTTTGGGCTTAAATAAACCCGTGAGTACAACGATATGTGACCTGACTGTTCATGAATCAGTGACCTATTGGGTAGTAAAGCCCAGATAACAATGACAGTCCCCAGGCTTGCACCTTTTATAAATGCCATGCTATCAATAGTAGCTCTGAAAGCCCCATCCCCACAGGTTCCCTTTAAATGCTAGTAATACCCACAAAGGACTGCAGCATTGTGGGTATAAACATATATAGATGTGTGCAGTGTACTGTATTAATACTTATTATGCTGTGTGGTTCCACTGAACATTTGCTCGTTTTCAGTCTAACGACCCTTAAATATTATTTGCAGGTAGCGGTAGTGATGGGATCTTGTACAGCAGGAGGAGCATACGTTCCAGCTATGGCTGATGAAAGCATCATTGTTCAAAAGCAGGGAACTATATTCTTAGGAGGACCTCCATTAGTAAGTATAAATATTGGCAATACAAAGCCTGTAAATGCAAGTGTTCCTCAAGCTGATAATAAGGGGTTCATTTATTAAAGTTCCTCTCGGCGTATAGATGGGTGGATGTTGTTTGCACAGCACTAGCACCCCTAAATAGCACTGACGAGTACGGGGATTTCCTATAAAATAACTTTTATAAATTAACCTCTAAGTGTTGTATGAGTGTTAATGTTGGTTTTTTTCACCTGTTCGCTTCTCCTTACATCCAGAGAGCCTGGGGCTATCATCTCTTGCCAATGCTGTTGAGCGTTGAGCTGACCAGCCCCTAATTAGAAAAACAGGAGCAGAATTTCTGTTACTACAGTGTACCAAATGAAATTGTTATATGCCCATAAAAATGTAATAAAAAACTATTTTGGTGGGTATATTAGTAATTGAACTATAGCCAAGGTAACCAACATGCTGACATTCAATTTGACCTGGGCACCTGAGTATCTCTGGGCACGAAAGTGATAAAGTATGACTTACTTTAAAACTATTTTACACATAGCGGTGGTGATGGGTCAACAAGTGTCTGAACCTACCAACAGTAAAACAAAACTCAGTTACAGGAATGGCAGACACAGACATTATCTTGTATTACAATGCAGTTTTGTGGGTTTTCATTCTTTGCCTGTGATATTATTTGAGACAAGTAATGACTTAAATGCAAACTCGTGTCAAACATGAACATTTTGAATTAAAACCCACTTGGGGGACACAGCCTACTAGGAATTGTTTCTGATATTTTTCCTTGGATTCGTCTGGCTGCGCACTAGTTAAATAGCTTAGGGTATCAACATCTTTTGAATAATAATGATTCTAAGCCTGCAAGAATGTAGGTTATATTTGCCCTCCAAAAAAAGCCAAATATGTGCATTCATACACAGCTTAGGGGAGACTGTGTCTGGATTGGTGCATCCAATATGGTCCTTCCAAATCAATTTAATACCTCTGCCTTCTCCTTGTCCTTTGTGATTAATCTCCCCTTCTCATCTTTTATTGAGCCTACCTACTCTTTTCTAACCTTTTTACTGTTTATATATTGGAAGAATCTTTGGGGGGTTCTTCTTGCAGACTGCGGCTATATGCTTTTCGTGCTCTATTTTAGCTGCCCGGATTTCATGTCTCCATATCTTATTGCATTCCTTGTAGCTCTGGGATGCCAGTGCTGTCCCCTCCATCTTATATTTTTTAAATGCCAGCTTCTTTTCTTTGATGTGTTGTCTTACCGTTTTATTTAGCTATGGAGGCTTAGCTCTCCATCTTTTATTTTTGTTACCCAGTAGTATGCACTTGGTAATAGCATTCTGCAATGTATTCTTAAAACAATCCCACTTCTCATCAGTGTTCATAGTTAGGAATAAATTGTCCCATTTAGTGTCATACACCAGATGACGCAACTTTCCGAATTTACCTTTTTAAAATGTAGTGTTCCTGTCAAACCAACACACTTCTCTTCACAAGTATTTGCGATTTATTAACTCAATAAAGTTATGCTTTAGATTCTGTAGGAAATGTGTAAGCCATGTTGTGTTTGTGTGTGCGATAATAATGATTTTAGTGTATTTTTATCAAAAATATCATTTTGATAAACATTTGCTCAACTCTCAGAGCATCTACAGAATCAGTTGCAGCATATTGTTATTCTCTTTCCTGTGTTTTTTGAAAATGTATGGTTTGGGGAGTCTTTTACAAACTCTGAAAACTCTAAGTGAAAAATGTTTAAAAAGTGAAAAATAGTGTGGCCATCTGTGGTGAAAAATGGAGCACAGGGCCTGGCAGCGAAAGGGTTAAAGGGCCATAATCGTTAATGGACTTGAGAAATAGTGCTAAACAAAATGATATCCAATCCCTGAGGATTTGTGGCGGATTGTGAAGACTGTGAATACAAATCCCATACGCATCAACGTACACAGTACATTGTTTTTCCATACTATACAGCTGCCACTCATTTATTGTATAATGCAAAATGAGGCTGATTTCTAAAAACTTGATGAAGAGGAAGTATATTTTTATAGACAATAAAGTCCAGCTTTGTGATTAATTTTCAAGGGTGACCCTGCCCTCTTTTATGGCTCTATTTTTTTTAAAAATCAGACCCCTCATGTCCATGTGGATCCCAATAGTTATGTTTGCTGAAATTTCCAGCTGTAGGAAACTCAGGCAGCGCTATGACATCTGTATGCATGGGCTATGCCACGCAGATCTATACCTGTCTCCACAATGATAAATATGCAAGAAACGCATCGATTTCTCATTCTTTCTTCTTACATTTGTTTTCAAGTGATAATTAAGCTCTGTTTTTGTTGTCATTCTCCCCTGTGTATATTGCATAGTTCTGTGCTCTAAGGGAATGGCTTGGTCAGTAGAGCCACCTGCACATTGATTTTTACATTGACTTCAATAAAACTTGTGGAAAGAGGATCATCAATATGGAACAGTAATGGGACCTGAAAGATTTCCTCTTCATGTAGACACAGGCACGCTTACATAGGATGTATGCAAATAGAACTTGGTGCTTATTGGATAATGAAAGCTTATTGACACTGGTGTTAAACAGCATTGATTTAAAAAAAATAAAAAAGTTATAACAAAACAATAACAGAAGTAAAAAAAATAAACGGTTGATAGATGTCTCAGGGATAGTAAAAGAGAACCAATTGAATCCTAGCTAATAGGAGTACACAATAATTACACAATAATGTGATCTAATGATGCCAAAATGTAGGGCAATAAATAAAATGAAACCCTATACAATTCATAAATTATAAATATAGATCATTAGCCCAAATGATGATCAATCAGTAAAACATATAGTCGGTGCATATATTAATATTATCTTTCCATATAATACCTAAACTGTGCACAAAAAGAAAAAAGTGCCTTTTAAAATAGAGAAATATCACTAAAGTGCTTCAGAACAAACTTCATCCAAACACCTTTTTTTTTCTTGAAATAACATATGTTGATTTGTAGGCATCAATATGCTTTTTTTGTGTGTGGATAGATATTATTAATATATGAACTGCCCATTTCTGATTGATTATCACTGTTTGTTTGGGACAATGGTCTATATATATTCTACAGGGTTTATTTTGTTTATAGCGCTATAAATTGATATTCATTTTTTAAAATGTATTTGTGATATTTGTACGGCTGCTAGGTTGGAGTTTTATCACATTTCATTATTTTTAGGGACGTAGAATATTTGAATATGTGAACACCAGGGTTAAAACATATATAAACCAAAAAAAAGAAAATGTATATATTGCAGCTTACCAGTCCTTAGATGTGGTGGCTGCATTAGCTTTGTTATTTCAGGCTATGTACGAGGGGAGGCAAATAAGTTCTTACCCTCACCAAGATACAGATGTGCTAGGGATCTGAAATGTAATCCACTGGCTCTTCCTTCTCTACATATCCACCTCCTATGGTTACACACTTTTCACATCTGTGGAACAGACCTTTAATACCATCTCTGTAGAAGTATGCAGATTTGGAGGAAAACCAGCTATCAACTTCAGTAATGACTGCCTCATCATTGTGGAAATGTCTTCCCTGTAAATGTTTCTTGAATGAATGAGGCATCCAGCACCCATCCATATTCATGTGTCGCTGTGATTTAAATAAACTTGATTTGCATCCACCTGTATGTCCTAGAGGTAGGTTTATTAAAATTCTTAAGCTAGCTATAAACTGTTCTATTTTTTACTCGTACTTGTCCAAATGCTCCGATACAGGAACTTCCGGTCAGGGGCAGATCTCCCTCTGACCAGCTGTGCCAAGGGAGCATAGAGCGGCTTCCTTTCCAATCAGAAAGCCGGGGCGGCGTGTTATGACCCGCCTCCCAGCTTCCTAATTGACAAGGAAGCCGGTGTCACTTGTTGCTAGGCAGGCAAGTGACCAATCAGGAAGCCGGTAGGCGGGTCATTACGTGCTGCCCGGCTTCCTGAATGGTTAGGAAGCCAGGCTGCCTAGCAACAAGTGAAGCTGGCTTCCTAGCCAATCAGGAAGCTGGGAGGCGGGTCATGATGTGCCACCCAGCTTCCTGATTGGCTAGGAAGCCAGCTTCACTGGTTTGGTAGGCAGCCTGGCTTACTAATCACATAGAAAGCTGGGCAGCACGTCATGACCCGCTTCCCAGCTTCCTGACTGGTCAGGAAGCCAGGCTGCCTAGCAACAAGTGAAGCTGGCTTCCTAGTCATTCAGGAAGCTGGGCGGCACGTCATGACCTGCCTCCTGGCTTCTTGATTAGTCCAGGATTGGACAGGAAGCCAAGCAGCCTCGGCAAGTGAAGCCGGTGTTGTTTCGATAGAACACCGGCTTCCCAAGCAATCGGGAAGTTGGGAAGCGGGTCATGATCTGCCGTCTGACTTCATGATAATCGGGGAACACGGCATTGGTATCGGCAAGTACCGGGAAAAAAAATATCGGTACTTGTACTCGATACTGAAAAACCGGTATCTGTACATCCCTAGTTGCAGGTATTGCAAGATCTCCTATTTTTATTGCAAAGTTTGCTTGAGGTTTGTTAGGGTATATAGCAGTGCACATATGGCATAATGAGAATTTTCTTTGTCTTCCATGTAATTGTTCATCATAGTCACTTTCATCTAGAATATCCCTCTAGTGCACCTGGTTTCTCAGCCCAGGAGAGGATGACGAATTCAGCTTCTTTTGAAGGTCGTGATATTTATCTCAATGAATACAAGTACTGTACTTATATTCATATTGCGTAATGTGTATATCTCCAGAGTATATCCAGTGTGCACTCAACTGCCGTATATGAGGTCAGGGGTTCTTGGCCTTTCTCAGACTGAGTACTACCTGGCAATTCTGGAGAAATAGAGACTGTGATCCACTGCACTAGGTTAAAGGAGACCAATGGGACTCTAAATAGTAAATAAGTCTTTAGGTTCCTGTCCTACCTTTATAGAATGGCGCTCTAGCCAAAACTGTATTTCTGTGGAGCATTCTGCATGCAAATATATATTGTATTCATTCAATTTCCCCTTGTAGGTAGAGCTTTAAGCTAATTTTCATATGTTTTTCAATTTCTGCTTATCCGTTGTAAAAATCCAGTTGTTCCTAGACTTTAGGTACTCTGCTTCCTCCCTCTATCTCAGAGCCGTAGCTAGCTCCTATTGCGCCCGAGGCAAGAACAGAAAGTTGTGCCCTCCCCCTCCGAGGTTATTTTGAGGAAAGTAAATTAACAAGGAAAATAATGATATTAGAACTATTTATGGGGTGACGGGGACAGAGCATGGGGACATGAGGTTATAGGGACGAAGAAGGGGAGAAAAGGAGATTTTTAAGGGGGTGATGGGGACAGAGCAGAGATCATTTGAAGATGGGAACAGAGCAAAGAGGAGTAAAAGGGATTTTTTAAGGGGTGATGGGGTTAGAGCAGGTTATGGCAGAAAATACTCCCAATGCGTTAGCATTGACATTCCTCTTGTTATCCAGATCATTGCATTTGTACTTGCATATCTTTGCCAAACATCATAAAATCCCCCGAATTTAAGGGCTAACTACATGTGCAGGATACCAATTGCTTACTCCATGAGGGGATATAGCAGGTTATGGCATTAAAGTCTCACAATTACATAATTAGTTAATTCCCAGGTCTCCTCAATCCCCAAGTTTTCAGCTGGCTTTAAGCAGCATTAGCTGACAGCCAATTGCCGGCTGGGAACTCCTCCCCTCCTGGGAACCAACCAATACGCAGGGGCGCTGCTTGTGTGTCTGGTCTATGGTAAACTGAGGCGATTAGCACTGCAGCAGCTCTCAGCTTCCCCCACACCTGGGAACCAGCCAATAAGCGGCAGAGCTGCACGTGAGTGGGATAGTAATGTGAGGTGATCAGCACTGCATCCAAATCCCAAAGCCCCCACTGACCTCTTACCCCCGCTGGGCACCAGGCCCGGCAGGTCCAGGTCCGGCCCTGGCTGTGCCCCCTCCCAGCTGCACCCGAGGCAAGTGCCTCACTCGCCTCACCCTTCCTACGGCCCTGCTCCACCTTCCTTTGTTTTGGAAAACCTAAAGTGCTTTGGGAGTTCTTTGTCAGACCTTTAAGCTACCTTTTAAGCTACAACATATCGCATGTATTAGAAGAAAATGTATCTCTCCTTCAAATTCTGTTTAGGATTGCAACAGGGAAATCTGAAGCTAAACTGCAGTTACAGTGCTTTACCTTTTACATGGTGTTGTTTTGTTTTATTAGGTAAAGGCTGCTACTGGAGAGCAAGTATCTGCTGAAGATTTAGGAGGGGCTGATCTACACTGTAGGTAAGGTCATGTATAATACATACGTCCTAGGTTGGCAATTTTTCCTGCTAGTGTACAATTTTTACAAAAAGCAGAAAAATTCATGAAGATAAAGACTACCGCCATTTTTCACTGTTAGATTAACAAAACATCAGTGATGGGGCATCTGTGACATTCAGATTGTATTTATAAAGAATTCACAGAGCCATTTGTCCTGCAAAACAACATGTACATTCCTTTTGGTGTGAATGAAAGCAGAGTCATTTTTGGTCAAATGTAATATGAGATAAATACCACAATATGACCACTACATGGGGCTGAAGAGTATAGAAAATAAGTATTTATTTCTTAAACTCCTCAGCTCCATCTAGTGGCCATCATGTGGTATTTGTCTGATATTACATTCAACTTGGTAAAAAAAAATCTACTACTAGCATTAGTTTTTGCCTCCATTTGCACAGAATAAATGTACATGCGATTTCACAGGACGAATGGCCCTGTGAATTGTTTATAAATATGCCACTTAGTGTGCTATTTCATCTGAGCATTTTTTCTGTCATTTTCCTTTGTGGCAAATTGAGTAAATTTTGTGACAGTGATATTAAAAAAACAAGCATTGCGGTGTTGTTGCTCTGTATTTATGTTTGGTTTATACATTGGAATACCACGGTCATATTGGGAATGTTTGCTGTTATCCTAAAGGATGAGTGTAATTTTTATTTTGTAAGGCCTTGTTCAGATGGACAGCAAGGGGTCTGTGAAAATGTGGATCAACCGCCTGTCTTTACCTCCCCCTTGCTGCCCATTTGAAGGAGACCTTACAAGAAAAAAATAACACCCCGGCTGCCCGCCTAAAAGCTAAAATCGGGCCGCTTAGGCTTGTACACATACTGCAACAAATTTTAAACAGCTTGGTGCATTTGGCAGACTGTGCCGCTTGCCAAGCGCAGCCATTGCAATCAATGTGGGCACGCGGTTGTAGCTCGGTATTGCAGCTCTAAATTCCCTTTAGGATAAACAAAAAGAAAGCGAACAAAATGGTATTCAAGAGGTGGCAGTATCGTCTCCTGGACTCAGGGCTGCCCCTGCTCCATTGCCCTCTGAAAAGCGATCCACTGCGGATTGTCTGTTCAGAGGGGGCGATGGAGCCTCCTGTCCATCTGAACGAGGCCTTAGTCATGCATTATTACTTCTTTCCTTTGTTCTGAAATGACAGCTGAGTATTAACCAGTGTGCAGGATATGAACAAATATGCTGGCTGGGCTGAATCAACTTTAGGGTTTGAGAAAAATTGTCACAATTTTGGCAATGATGAAGATGGGTTTGGGTCCTCTGGAATATATCAAATGTGCTTGTATATTCAGACATGTGTTGATGCACACTGTATGTATCAGAAGAGACAATGTACCTGGCTGTAGTGTATGAGGATCTTAGAAGTCTGTGAGGAGTACCATGACCATATAAAGATTCTGAGGCCTGGTTCACACTTAGGCGATTTATCTCGCAGATTTAGCCGTGCAATATCGCGCAAAACACAGATTCACATTTAAGTCAATGGAGGCTGATCACACCTTTTTGCATTGCATCACGTAAATGAAATTGCCTGTTGCCAAAAAGGTGCAGGAGCTATTTGTGGGCGGTTGTTGCGTGGTTTGAATCCCATAGATGTCTCTATGTATTGAAGACCGTGTGCTTTTTGCAGCAAAATTGTGCAAAACAAAAAAAAAGTGCGACATACATGTAGGTGTGAACTAGGCATTTAGTTGACTTCTTGAGTTTACCTGATAATTACATGTCTGTCATTCTCATCAGTACTTTGAGTTATTGACCATGAGCAAGTATTTCCGGCATTTTTAAGTAACATGCTGCATATTTATTTTGGGCTACTGACTCTGAAGGTATTGTCATAATTTTCATTATGTTTCTTATTTTCAGTTTATTTTTAATTGTTACAATTGGCAATAGATAGTTTGGTAGCAGGATGCAAATTGAAACACTAAGGCCCCATTCACACCTGTGCGATTAATTGTGTGCCACCCACTGCGTATTAACGCATAACGAGTAGATTGCCATTCTTTTCTATAGAGCCCATTCACACCTGTGCACTGCGCTGCTGTGTGTTGGGTAAAATGGAACATGTGCGTCTAACTTGCATTTTTTGCTCATAACAAAAAGCCCCTGACAACAATTTTTTACTTTACTGGCCAAAACAAAAATGCATAATGCATGGAAACGCATAGAGACTGCTTAGAAGTGCATGAAAATGCAGATCCAAAACTTGGCACTTCAGCTGTGGTGAAGCTACATGTTCTGGGAGTCATACCTGTGGCTGTCAGTCTTGCAATGCCTCATGGAACTTGTAGCTCCACAACAGCAGGAGTGCCAAGGTTGCCTACCCCCGGCCTAGGTTAATGGATAGTAAATGGTATATCTATAGACAGATGGACCTGGGTAGCTTTTGTGGGTTTTGTTACGATGGGTATGTTAATTGTTTTCAGAAAAAAGACACTCAAGCTGTCAATCATAGAAATGGCTCCAGCTTAACTATTTAACAATAGTTAAATAGCTTAAAATAACCAAAGTTCTTTACATGGTGTTTTTATTATACAGCGATGTGCTAGTGCAATAAAATTGTTATATATACATATATATATATAGCTAGATAGATATACATATACACACTTTTTTTTGCCATGCAGTGATGGCGTTCAGCTGAGCGAGGCTAAAATCTGGCGTACTGTTTCAGAAGGTGCGTTTGAAAACAATCCCATAATAATTCTTTTTCAGTGGTACATTCCTGATGTGCCGGGGCTGTTGTCTCGTATTTCTGCTCTGAAGTTCGTAAGTCAGCTGTCGTCACCAGTAAATTCAATTATAAATTTCCCCAGAGCAAACTGTTCGTCCATCATGCAGAGCTCTGTGACGGAATCACTGAGGAAATGGCTCCATCCTCTGAATTAATGTGTAGAGCAGAAAATAAAAGCACAGCACACCGTTGCGGTCATATTTCTGTCACTGGTCAAAGTTAACTCATCCAGAGTCTGAACCGGTTTATATGTGAATGTGTGGACTAAAAACATGCTTGCGTCATACACTCTAGGGGGAGTATATTTGGGGGAGTCAATGATAGAGAAGGATCTGGGTGTTCTGGTAGATCATAGAATGAGTAATAGCATGCAATGTCAAGCCGCAGTTTCTGAAGCAAGCAAAATACTTTCATGTATTATATGGGGTCTAGACTCCGGAGAGAGAGACATAACATATGTAACGGTGGAATGGTAAAGGTTTTACTTTAGGAGTGGGGACACAAACAGCAAAAACAATGTGGGTCTAACCTGGGGGAGGGGGTGGGGGGCGGCAACTCCTGTCCTCCAGGAGTTGCATGCCTGTAACTGTCTATCTTGCATTGCCTCATAGGTCTTGTAGTTTCACAACAGCTGGGGGGCTGTAGTTGCTCACCCCTGGTCTAACTCCTCATCACTCTCTCCAAAAACTAAAAAAAAAAAGTTTAGTTTAGCCATGCACTTTAAGATATGTGGTGTGCTTGCCCTTAAAAAAAATCAGAGCCATAGAAGAGGTTTTTCTAACCAGTGAAGATTGTGGTATCTGCACTTAGGTGAGATGTTTACTTATAAAAGTTTAAAATGCAGTACAGGATAATATGAAGGATTGTGTGTTGGTTAGTAACGATTATAAACAATTCGTAATGCTTCTTTTTTTCTGCATAGCTGGGAATCCTGTGGGTTGGAAGGGTTCCTTCCTGATGGTAATAAATAATGGCAAAACCTGAGAGTTATGAATGGCTCAGTAAGGATGTAGGGCTAGTTCACACCAAGTACGGAGTAGGTGCAGAGCAGTTACAGAACACATCAACACTGCATCCAATGTATTCCAATGGTATTTTGGGCTCTAGTTCACACCGGAGCGTTCAGTTCCACAGTTCCAGAGCATGTGGAAAAACTGTAGCGTGCCCTATTTTTTTCTGCTCTGGAACGCACCAAAAAGCATCAAAAATGCATCCAAACAGCCTGGAACACACTGAAAGCACATTTTCGGCTTTTTTTTTTTTTAAACGGCCGGGGAAAGTGGCAAAAACACAGCAAAACACACTGCACTGCATGTGCAGAAACTCATGCAGATCTGGTCTGCATTTGGTGTAAACAAGCCCGTAGATTTCGTTAATTAATATGCTAATTGTATAAGTGAGGGCTGATATTTTTCTTTCCTAGAACACTATATTAAAGAATGTTCACAGTATTTAATTTTACTTTTTATTCTATTAGGAAATCTGGTGTCACTGATCACTACGCTTTAGATGACAGCCATGCCCTTCATCTTGCACGGAAAGCAGTACGCGCCCTAAACTATAAAAAGACACTAGATGTAAGTCACAATACATTCTTGTCTGGTGTGAATGTCCATGTATGCCCTGTTAGGGCTCATTCAGACATGTGTTTACTATTTCACAATGTAAATGCAGGATCTTGCTATTAGAAGCTGGTGTTTTTCTGGTAGAATCCTGCGTCCAGCGTCCAGCAGTACAGTGTTCATGGGCATTGCCAGCCAACATGGAAATATCAACACTGTTTAGTCAGTCACACCTGTGCTGCTAACTATACACCACTGACGGGCTCCTTGGTTGTTAGGACACAGACGGCCATTCAGCAACCAAGATGGCGCAAAAATGTGTAGTCCAGTCCGCGCTGCTGAAAATATTCATATGTTGGCTGGCAGCAGCCAATAGGCTGCATTACCGATGTGGGCTTGTACGCATATAAGCATTATGCAAACATTTACATGCGTACAGCATAAATATCCCGGCAATTTACGGCACTGACCCAGCTGTGCAATTGGGACCAAAGACTTGTATTCCGCTGCACCCAGATGCGAACAAAACTATACACTGTACAGCTTTTTTAATGCCCATGTAAATTAGTCCTAAAGCATGATGAGAAAATATTTGTTTATGGCCAGGATATGTGCAGTAACTGGTAACATGTTTGTCAATTAACACGTGTCTCACACATCATGGCACCATGATTGAATTCTGGTGATTGAATTATGGAAATGAAACTGGATTGAGGTGATTGTGTTGCATTTATGGGTATTAATATTGGGGTATTTTTTGCACCTCATTTGAACTGAGGAAGCCAACTAGATGAATTGTCAAACATTTTCAACAATTCAAGACAAGTTCAGTTGAATGTGACTACTAAAAGCTCTTCCATGACCTAAATAAATGACCTGACAATCTCTCCAAAATATTTTCCAGTATGCTGGGTGATGAGATAGGATCTCTTGTGAACATTGTATATAGAGTTGGATAGCAGTGCTTGGGGATCTCTTTTAGTATGGGGGACATTTTGTAGTTTCATTGCCCAGCTACGAGCAGCTACAGTTTTGAGTCTTATGGCTAATGGTTTCACTCAGAAGCTTATCTCGGAATGTGATGATTTGATGCATAATTGCTGGTGGGGTAACGCTACTTAAACAAAAATGTCACTTTTTTAGGTTACTGTAGAAAATCCTGAAGACCCCCTTTTCCCAGCAGATGAGCTGTATGGAATTGTTGGAGACAATTTGAAGAAGAATTTTGACGTTCGAGAGGTATACCTTTTAAAAATATACAAAATAGGAAGCCACCTAAATAGTAACAACTTAAAGGCCTTTGAAAGCAGCTGTAATGTGACATGGTGGGGAGTCTGTTCTGCAAACTTGTTATTACCTTGTGGTTTATTATATCTGAAAGCAGGTAATGAAGTGCAGATTTCAGTCTTCTGGCTTCCTAGTGCAACATACAAGAGGGCCTGTCTGGCCAGGCTGTTCTTCGGATAGTCCATTGTCCGTGTCATGCTGTGGCTAGAAAGGATTGCATGACTCTGTATTTCAGGAAACCTGAACTTAGAAAGTGAAGATCTGCTATGTTATAGAGAAATATTAGTTGTGCCTAAGCAGTACCATGAAAGTTTTTTTTTTTTTCTTTTGCCTTGAATAAAGCAGTGCACCTTCTGGTGTGTAAATGTGCCCAGGCACATCGGTGCCAACAGCCTTGCAAGTGCATATCTGCTGTACAAGAGCCGCTATTTGATTTGGAGTGAGATCTGATAATGTCATTTCACTACTGTGCTGTTTGTTGGAGGGGAAGCTGGTCCTCAGAAACTGTACTATGTGCATCTCCCTGCTTCTGCTTATAGAAGAACTCTAGGAAACCTTTTTCTTAACCCTTGCAGTGGGGCTACACCCGCACTGCAAGGGTTAAGTGCTTGTTTGTGTCTAGGTTCAAAAATAACAAAGATATACTCACCAGAAGCTCTAAACCGGTCAGCTATCACAGCGCTCTCTCCAGCCTGCCTGCTTCTCCGATGTCTTTCTTGGTGTCCTCACATCCTGTACGCTGTATAGACATGATGGTTTAGACTGCTGCAGAGGAGAGGACAGACCAGTGGCGGACCTAATAGCCAAAGGGCCCTGGTGCGAGATTTTATCTTGGGCCGCCCTCCCAAGACGGATCACACTGGCAAACCCCCTCCCCAGCGGTCACTAATGTTGCAGTAGCGTGCTGGACTTACCTGAGACCCTGCAGAGCACACCATAGATCCTGCATAGCCCACCTGAGACTCTCTATGGTGGACTCTGCAGGGTCCCAGGTGGGCTGGTCTGGTCGTCGGAATCCCTTTCCCTGTACCTCCTCCCAACTCTTCTTACCTGCTGCTGCTGGGGCCCGGCCTCCTCCACCCCCTACCCTGTCACCTCTGCCATACCGCCACGGTACAGTTGATACCCAAATAAGAGGCCCCCCAGACCCCTCACATGGGTACCGGCCATACCCCCCTGATGGCTGTGTTCTATCAAAGGTTGTGACTACGTTAGAATGTGTGACCGGTGACGTAATCACACGTTTCAACGTAATCCTGCCCAGTTTTTCGGCGGCGGAATGTGTGACCGCCAATAGGTGAAGCATTCCAGCGCTTTCCCAACTGTTCCGGGGCAGATCGGCATCGCATGTGCAGGAGAACCGATCTGCTCTGGAACAGCTGATCGGTCCTGAAATGTCACTTCTCTCCGACTGCGATCTCACATTCCACCGCACTGAGAAAGTCGGATAGAAGTGACATTTCAGGACCGATCAGCTGTTTCAGGGCAGATCGGTTCTCCTGCACATACGCTTTGCGAAGCCGATCTGCCCTGGAACAGCGGAGAAAGCATTGGAATGCTTCACCTATTCCACCGCCGAAAAACTGGTCACACATTCTAACGTAGTTTCGAACACCGGGACCGGTGTTCGAGACAATTCGAGGCTGTATTATACAATGCAGAGTACCATGCACAATACAATACAATACAATACAATACAGAATACCAATGTATAATACAGCGGCATACTGCAGAACACCAGCAGCTATAGAGGAACAACAAATCCCAGCAATAATACATTATGCAGGCTGTATAATGTATTATTACTGAGATTTGTTGTTCCTCTATAGCTGCTGGTGTTCTGCAATGTGCCGCTTTTTTTTTTTAAACAGGAAACATTAAAACAGGTTAGATGAGACCTATAGTATACACATTGGTATGGTCAGTCTAGTCCTCTGAATTGTTGCCCATGCTTATTGGAACAAGGTGCCTTCTGCAGTGAGTGCAGTGAGAGGATGGTGGCTATTGGGGATTTGCATGTATTGGAGTCTTCTCTATAGTGATAAGCAGTGCACTGTGTGCCTTGTTGATGCCAGGGCTGGGGTGGCCACAGTCAATAGTTAGGGCATTCGGTTTCAAAATGGCAGGACCCAGAATGTCCTCGTGAGAAAAAAAAAACAGGTCCCCCCTACCCGTTTCTTGTTTCCCCCTTACCTGAACCCTTGTAAGTCGCTGCGGTGACGGCGTGCTCTGTGGGCGTGTGTCCGGCTTAGCGTGTGTGCGATGGGCATGGCGTACGCGTCGTGCTTAGCGTAGCTCGTCTATGGAGCCGCGAACAGGCCGGCGTGGGCAGCGGTGAGCGGGAAATTTAAATTTTAGCCGACGAATCGACGAAGGAGAGCGTTGACAATGTTTTCCATCGTCGATTTTAATCGACTTAATCGAATAATTGTTGCAGCTCTATACCTGGCTATTCAATCTAAAGTGGGAAAACTGATTGGTCATGTTAAATATTTACTGTAGGTCTACTGCTATTGTTTCTGCAGACTTAAAGTGTATTTCCACTTTTGCAGTCAGATTTGAGAAAACCCCTCGATATGTTTGTGTTCCCATTCACACAGCATACCTAAAAATATATTTTTAAATATTTCTTAGCTTTTATATGTTACTTTGGTGAAGGCCTTTGCTCAGATTCCAGACTTCTCAGCAGTTTCAAAGTGAAAGTAGAGGGACAAACTGAGGGTCAGGCCGAGCTTCTTCTCATTAACATCCAATGCTTTGAAGTCTTTAATGCTTTCTTAGGACAGACAGTGTTCAAATCAAGTTTACAACATGTGATGAAATCCGCCAGCACAATACACACAGGGTTAATTGGGGTAAACAGAACTTAACTTCCCCCTTCAACTCCCTCATTAACATTACATGGGGGGGGACTTAAAAGCAAGTGAAAAGCACTGACAAATGTAAGCATTTTTTAAACATTGTATTACATTATGCAATGTGAGTGAGAATATGTAACAAATGTGAAGTAGATGTTATCCCAATTTGACCGCAAAAGTGGAAATAAACTATAATTAAATCTATAATAATATCCCTGCTGTTAGCTGCATTGCCAGCAATACAAGGCTAGTATGAGCATAATTAAATTGAAGCTGCATTGTACCCTGACATGGCATGGTGTCATTCAGAATTAATGTGAAGCACTGTATGGCTCTCCAGAATGAAGATTTTTCTCTACGTGCGTCTGCTTCAGGATTCATAGACACGTTATCTAATCGCATTGTCTGCCCCTTGGTGGACCTCTGGAGAAGGTGCTGTGCAGGTTTCAAAGTAATTCTATATTTGATTTCCAGATTGTCTGATGGATAATTGCCTGGATGGCCTGAAGGTGAAAATTTTCATCAGTGTGACTGAACTGTTAATTTTGTATCTTGGCTTTAGTTGATGCTGTAAGTTATGCTCTTTCAGATTAGGTGGGACCTGTCCTTCCATAATCGTTCTTTGCTTTTGTAGAATGATAGCCTTTTTCCCTATGCATCCTTGTTAAAGTGGTCCTGTCACTACAGGGCAGCACAGCAAATAGCAATACCTTTATTAAATAACGTATTTACCTTTCTGCAAGCTGTTGTCTTAATACACTGCCTCAGTGCCACCCACTCAGCCACCACAAGCATTCAACACTTCTGCACGTGTAAATTCCTGCTACCCTGCTGTAAGCATTGGTTCCTCCCGCCAGCTTGTATGTCACTACAGGTTGTACGAGCCATTGGAAGGAACCACTGCATGCAATTAGGAAAAGGGTATTTGTCCCATACAGCCAGGTGAATACTTGTGGTGGCTGGGAAACTGCATCACAGCGACATTTCAAGACATGCGCCCCCTGGAAGGTAAGTAGACTGCCCCTTCTGTCTGCAGTAATTTCACTAACAGGGTCACTTTAAAGGTACATGCGAGCCAAAATAAAAATAAGACCTTGAGATGCATCAGCCATAGAGACCCCCCGCTCTCAGTTTCTTTTGTTGGTAATCTGAAAACTCCGATTTGTGATTAGGGATGAGTCGAGTGATTTTAGCTTGATTGATTTTTGCTAATTTTGCCATTTGTGACATTACACAGAAACAGAATGTTATTTTTCTTATTAGGTAAAATTTGCTTGAAAAAAATACATTTTTTTTTCTTTTTTTTTAATTTTCTTTATTCAGAAGAATTTTTTTTTTTTTTTTTTAAATCTATGGGGGGGGGTGGGGAGGGGAGGTGTATTTAGGGTAGTTTAGTGTATAATTTAGTGTTCTTTGTTTTATGCCTTTCTTCCTTTTTGTGTGTGTGTTTGATTTTTATTTGTCTACTAATGCTTTACATATTTTTATTTTATTATTTTCCTCTGTTAAAATAATGAGGCTTGTGAAGGGAATTTTTTGGCACAAGAACAAGTACAAAAATACTTCCACTGTCTCTCCTTCTTTTTATAGGTCATTGCCAGGGTTGTTGATGGAAGCAAATTTGACGAGTTCAAGGCACTTTATGGAGATACACTAATAACCGGTACAATCTACCGCCTTGTCATATTTTACTTGTCACCATTTTTCTCACTAAAATGTTAACATTGTTTTCATTTTAAAGGCTTTGCCAGGATATTTGGTTACCCTGTTGGTATTATTGGAAATAATGGTGTCCTTTTCTCTGAATCTGCAAAAAAGGTAAGTACTCAACACGGTACCCTTCTGGTGTGCTTTGGCTGTATCTTGGTTTTCTAATTATTCGAGTTTCACCTGTATATATTATCATAAGCCTAAGTTCTTCCATGCTTGAAGGGGAACCAGTTATTTTACATTATGTGTTGGCCAATGTCAGAAAAGTGTAAGATGTATGTAAAGTATACAGAATTTCGGTGAGCGACATCTGTACATAAGGATGTAGGCTGTACAAGTGCAAATAGAGGCTGTGCATCTGCCTAGATGGTGGAGATCTTAGTGGCACACATTACAGCAACTGTACTCATTTTTCAAGAGAACTGCTGCTGTTAATGACAATATAGGAGCAGGGTGTTCATACAGCTGGCCTCTGACATTACAAATTTGGGAATCATTTACAACATGGACAATCACTTAGTTGTCTCCTCAAATTATTTCTGTTGATATACTATATTTATGCACAAGGAATGAATAAATGGGATGTATGTAGGATAGATACTATTGTTGGAATTTAGAGTGTTTTAATATATAGAAGTTATATTATACAGTATCAGTAGGTGAAAGTTCTTATGGAGGGCCCTGCACTATTTTTACATTTATGAGTTACTATTAGTAATCTTACTTTGTGCACACAGCTAGATAATAGGATTTGGTTCACTGGAAAGGGTGTGGAAATTTACAAAAAATGTTTAGAAGACATAAAGATTGTATTTGTGGTTGGGTCTAGCGGTCCCATTTTGGGGTGTTTGGAAATGTATCCACAGTCAAGAGGCTGCAGGCTGTATTGTTGGAAACAGGACTTCTCTTTAGGAAGGGTGACACATTTAGCATTTTTCAGAAGGTGTTGGAATAAGCAAACATTTTACATTCATTGTTCACCAAGATCTTGTAGTGATGATGGGAGAGTTGGACCACTATGTAAAGTCTTCTCCGGCACATCCCAAAGATTCTCACTCGGGTTAAGGTCTGGACACTGTGGTGGTCAATCCATGTGTGGAAATTATGTCTCATGCTCCCTGAACCACTCTTTCACAATCTGAGCAGGAAGATTCCTGGCATTGTCATCTTGGAATATGCCCAATGTGCCATTAGGAAATCCATTGATGGAAAATCTTTGTCATTCAGTATATTCAGGTAGGCAGCTGACCTCATTTTTTAAAGGCATACCGTTGCTGAACCTAAACCTAACCAATTGAAGCAATCCCATAACACTGCTCGAAATACAGATGGTGACTTTTTTTGACCAGGCATTGTATTTTTTGTAAAACTGCAGTTATACTTTATTACCATTGCAGAGTTTTCTAGATGGGTAGATAAAGTCAGCTGGTGTTAGAATATCCAAAGTTCTGCATTCCTGATGGTAATTTTTTACCTGAGATCCCAGCCCAATGATGATGTTGATTAAGAAATCTGAAGTCACATAGAATTGAAACGTCACCTTTTAGCACATAAAAAAAAAACTAAATTGGGAATGTATCTGTGCATGTGTAACTGGACCAGGAAGATAAAGCAAAATAAAGGAATGAACATTTTTCCTGCACTAAAATTAGCACAATTTATTATTGGAAGATTATGATGTTATTTAATATCACACATTTCTAATGTTCAGGAAAGTGTGCTTGAAGTGATGAAAGTATGATTTCCTTGGGTTATAACACATAATCATTACATTTTGTGCTGTCCACAAGTATCTTGCTTGCAGTTAAAGTATAACTAAAGGCGCAGCTTTTCTTTTTAGATTTTATTGCTGTTGCGTTCCCTTTAGGGAGATTAACCCTCTCTAATTGTCATGGTCACCAATGTCATGGAGAAATAAATTGGAGGGTAAATCCAGGATTTGGGGTTACCACCAGAGCAGGAATAAAGGGAAACTCTTCCAATGGGGTCATTTTGTTACTGTGACAACTGTCTTATAGATTTCTTCCCTACAGGACAGAAAGTGAAGGGAAATCTCCCCAATTAGAAACATATGGCAATGGTTTTAACCATTTCCTAAATATAAAAACAAAGTTGTGACTTTGATATATTTTTTTTCTCTATAAAACTTGCTTTTTATGCCTTGACAAGGTAGTAGTGCTTGGTGAACAGGTATAAGAGCACAGGCAGCCCTTGGTTTGCGCTGGTTCCGTTTGCACTGTTTCAAAATAGTGCCCTTTTTGGGTGGTCACATGACCGCCATTGAAACCACTGCAGAGTTGGTGCCATCTAGTTTATCCTTCCTCTGCAGACCTCAGCTGCGGAAAGATACGCAGGGGGCTTCTCTACAACTCCATGTGGCTACAGTTGCAGAGTCAACGACGGCTTAGGAAGGGGCTCTTCTTAGTGAGATAACTAGGGACAATTACAGACTTGGAGCCCCACAGAGGTACACTTAGAGATATGGAGGTGCTTAGAGCCACGCTGGGGGCACAGGGGCACACATATACATGAGATACTGTACACAGGCACATAGAGACAAGCTGGGGGTATCTACCCTTGGAGATACAGAGGCACATATGTGCATGCTGGTGGCACAGGGGTTCACTTGGACATATAGAGGTTCTTCAGTGGCTGTCTCTCCTTGCTCTCCCTCCTTTTTTGATCATTAAACTTAGTTTGATGATACATACTGTGTTTTGTGGTTATTTTATACCGTGTATAATGCTGTTTAGCATTCATAACATTTATTTCAAAGCTTTAAATATAATGTATTATGTCACTTCTGTAATTCTTGGGGGAGGCCTGGAACCTAACTCCCCCACCTCCCATTGACCTTCATTATATACTGGGTTTCAGTTTACATTAGTTTCTATTTGCAACCATTCCTTCAGGAACCTAACCCTGGTGTAAATTGAGGGCTACCTGTATTAAGATTTGTGTGGGATTTTATTTAATACTTTTTCATTTTGTGTTTGGGGAAATCAGCTAAAAATCCAAAATCTGATCTAACCAGATTTTTGTAAAAAAATCTCATTCCTTTTAATAAATGGAGTAGCAGTTGCCATGGTTTAAGCCTCAAGGGTGCTGGAAGGGCTACACGATAATTTATCAGGACTAGCCCTTTAGATGAGAAATAGCACACCACAAAGCAGCAGAAGAAATGTGCTATTGACAAGAGCACAATGTCACCCCACTTACTGTGCCGCCTCGCTCAATGAACAGCTGTGCCCTACACCCACTGAAACTTCATACCATACATATATGTGTACTATTACAGAGAATTCAATCTTCCACTAGCTAGTTGACCTATCAGGCCTATCTGCGAACCTCTTTTAAAATATGTGAAATACATTCTTTTGAAGTCTCTAACTTTAACCCTTCCCAGCTTTTCAGGTGAAAAAATTGCCATGGAGCTTTTAACATTGACGTATTTTAGCTGTGCGCCAAGATACTTCCAGCTTGTCTTACACATATTTACATTAAACAGTGACACCTAACAGTTCCTTATATATCTCAGGGTCTTTTAGTAGTATTAAACTCTCAAAACATTTTTTTCAGTAATGAATCCCGGTCAACAAAAAGACATTATCCAGCAAACTTTTTATTCAAATTTTTGCCCAAGCATTTACACTCATCATGTTTTCCAGTAGCTGGCTCCAACTCCTTCAGCTCGGCTTCCCTGAATTTCCTGTCCAGTACAAGGTCACAAGGGGCAGAGCAGCCTGCATCTACTATCTTGGAGGAGCAGAGAGCAGGGGAGTGGTTTGCCTTGCTTTGTCGGTGTGTTTGTGCCGACAGCTTACTTGAAAACACAAGGGCGGCTCCATGGGTGGTTCCATAGGACCCTGCAAGGGAAACAGGATATCAGGGCCAGTTTTCAGGGGAATGGCTTATCCTGCAGGAAACCAAAACTTTAAACATCAAGAAGCAGCCTCCATTGCAAGTGATTTAATCAGCATTTTGACTTTTATTTCACTTTAGGGTGAGCTATCTGTGCTTGTGTTCCTGGGTCTGAACACTTGGTGTGGCCATTATGAGGGAATCCTACTGTCCCTGTAGAATTTTTATCATCTCTTATTTGTATTTATTGTTTATTATGTTATGTATCACATATTTCAGCGGTACCTTGACAGTGCATGGAACCATTGAAAACATTTCATTAGGGTATTTGTTTGCTGACCAGCTGGAAAGTATGCTGGGGAATTTTTGTATTGTTCAGAGTCAGGGATTATGGCAGTTGGAGTGACCAGAAATCATAAGCCAGGGGCCGCTCTGTCCGACAAGTTTCACCTAGAACTAATATTGTAGTTGATGTTTATCCATAATGATTACAAGCTCTGCTCACCAGCTACAGACATTACCGGAGGCCATCGTCCTTGCTGTTTTATTTAGGGTCAATGCAACATCTGAAGTGAGACTCCATTACATGATGTTCTAAAGGCATAGGAGTAAGTGGGGCTTTAATGCCACCAAACGACAGATCCAATTAACCACAAAATTGCGTCATATAAAAAAAATATTTTATTGAGTACAAACATTCTAAAAAGACCATAGACTTAAAATAAGGGTGTGCATATCCCAATAGGCAGGTACCTCCAAAACCCACTCATTAATTCCATGATTAAGACATACAACATATAAAAGACATGATTCAAATGATACAAAAAAGAATAGGAAAAGTTAATTTTCACAACTTCATCAGTAACATCTATACAAAGGCAAGATATAACACATGATAGGTAATACACATAGAAATTGCCAAATATTCTCCAAGTCATAAGTGTAAATAAAAAAAACAAAAATCACTGCGCTTGGAGTATTCAATAATGGTGGACCAGCCGCAACAATGTGAGGTATTAAACCCGTGTACTTTTAGTGAATAACAAACGATATTCACCATATGTGTAAATAGCCTTATCTGAAGATGATATAGAGTGGCTATTATTCTCTACGCGTTTCACACTCCAAGCGCTTCCTCAAGGACCAAAGGTGGTTAGCTGGGGACCAAAACCCACAGAAGGCCGGACAAGGAGTGATTTCTTTTTGTGGTTTGATGAAAGAGGGGGGTCTGTCTCTATGAAGTCCGGAACCATTTAATACATCAATATCTGTTTATGTTGATTTATAGACAGATTGGGTTGCTGAATAAGTTTATCACTCCTTGTCCGGCCTTCTGGGTTTTGGTCCCCATCTCGGACTATTCAGGGCCGTGGGCTGCTCCGTTCTGGCTGGTCACGTTGGATGCGTATGCATCGGCTCCCGGTTGGGCAGGTAACCTTGGCAGTGATTTAGTTGTGTTGCTATGTATGCTTAGAATTTTATCTTTATCTTTGTATGTCTTTATCTTTTTACGATCAACCACCTGAGGAAGCACTTCGAGCGCGAAACGCGTAGAGAATAATATCCACTCTATATCATCTTCAGATAAGAATATTTACACATACAACTTGGAGAATATTTGGCAATTTGTATGTGTATTACCTATCATGTGTTATGTCGTGCCTATGTACAGATGTTACTGATGAAGTTGTGAGAATTATCCATCAACTTTTCCTGTTCTTCTTCTTTTTTTGTATCATTTGAATCATGTCTTTGATATGTTGTATGTCTTAATCATGGAATTAATGAGTGGGTTTTGGAGGTACCTGCCTATTAGGATATGCGCATCCTTATGTTAAGTCTATGGTCTTTTTAGTATGTTTTGTACTCCAATAAAATATTTTTTATATGACGCAATTTTGTGGTTCTTTGGATCTGTCATTTGGTGCCATTTAAAGCCCCACTTACTCCTATGCCTTGATTGACTAATAGGGGTGTGGCACCAGTTACTCGGGATCTGCTCACAAAACTTTTTCTATGATGTTTGAAAGGGAATGGTAGGGATCAGAGACAAACTTTCTGTCCTTGTCAGGTGTATGAGGAACCTGTGGGTCATTCAACAATCAGTGTTCTATCAAAACTAAAATATCAGTTTTCGGTGGACAATCTCAACCACACTTATGAATTTGGTTTATCTTTTTATGATTATTAGCTGCAAGCATAAGCAGCTATACCACAGAACTTACAAACTCACTTTTTAAATAGTTCTTTTTATAAAACACTTATATAAACAAGGCCCTCTGTGTATGTATAACAAAGGACTGCTACACTTCTTTCTCACTAACCTGACTGGCTAAATAACCCAATAACAGTCAATAGATGTCTGCCATTTCTGTCTGAGCAGCTCACCCTAAAGGGGTACTGACTGTCGGCAATGATCGTGATTCATTTGTAAGCTTGGATGTTGTGAGTTGCTCCTACATTGTGCACATTATTATTGCTCTTTTCAAACTGCCTTAGGATCCATTCACATTTCTGTAGTAAATCACACCATCTTACTGCTGAGAGGCCACAGCTCAGAACTAGTATCCCTTCGTGAGCTTCACCATAGTGAATAGCAACATCATAAAATCCTCTGTACTGCATTTGGTTTGTTTGGCCAGTAAAAGCCATAGAGAAAAAATGCATTAAAACACAGCTTAAAGCCCAATTAAACTTTTAGTTTAAATCTCATAAATATATTTCAGGCACATCAAAACAAAAGGTATGCAAAGTCTTACAGTTTGTCTTCATTAGAAAGTAGCCACAGTCTGAAGAGAAAAGCCTGTTTCCTGCCAGCGTGCAGAGAAAGACCCTTGCTCTCTGTGTGGAATCGGTGGTCTCTCTGCAAAGATCCAACATACCCGCGCTAAGTCAAAGTTGGAGCTCTCCAATCAGCAAGGGCCCTTCTCTGCAGCATGCTAGTAGGCTTTTTTCCATTGAGGGAAGCATGGATTCCAAAAACCTTTGGGTGATGCTGCCACCTACACGAGGATTGGACACTGACAAACGAAATACTGTAGGCTTGGGTATAACCCCTCCTACTACCAGTTTTTTTTCTAATCTCCTAGGTGGATGGACTAGAGGTTAAAGGAGAACTATGGAGTCAGGGCTTTTCCACATAGTTCTCCTAAGGGTCACCGAAGAACACAAACTAGCGTCCTCCCGTGACACAGAGCTCCGTATACTGAGATGCCGCAGCCGGGACGGATCCCGACAATACTGTCTGGATCCACCCAGCTGCGGGATTGACAGCTGTCTCTGCCTATCCAGAGCCAGCTGTGCCCGCCCCCACCCCGTCCATTTTGCCAGTCAGCGCTGGAGGATCGGACAGGGGAGGGGGAATCCCTGCAGGGAGCCGTGAGTGACAGTCATGGCTCTCTGCTGGGATAGATCGAGAAGTGAGCGAGCGGCGGTATGTGTTCGCTCACTTCCCGATCTACTGAGCCGACCTGTGACAGTCTCATTGTCACAGGTCGGCTCAGATTATGAGGCTGAGTGAAAATCACTCGCCTCATAATTCTCCTTTTAATGTTGTGGGACAGAGACATCATTCTGCTGGGTGGAGTGTCATGTGCGCACACTCCATGTTGTCTTTCCTACCAAGAGGTTAAAGAGCATCTCCCCACTGCTGCTGCAAGAGCAAAATGGAACTTCGATTCCTGATCTCTTTCTACTTTCCGCCTGAAGTAATTCTTGGTCACCTACAACCATTCGACCTTCCAGTCTCAAAGTGTATTTCCACTTTTGCAGTGAAATTTGAGAAAACCCCTCTATATGTCTGTTATGTGATCCATTTCACACAACATAAAGAAAAATAATTTATAAAAAATATTTCTTACCTTTTTAAGATGTTTGGTAAAGCAGACAAAATGGGCAATTCCAGGTTTTTCCCAGCACCTTCACAGTGATCTGTCCTAATGGAAATGCTTAGGACTGAAATTTGAGGATTGTGTTTCTCTCATTAACAAATATAAAATAGAGGTTATTCCAATTTGGCTGCAAAAGTGAAAATACACTTTAAGCATTTCTGCCAGCAACTATCCTCGAGTGCTCAGGTTCGATGAGTACTCGAGACCTTGCCTCCTACCTGCACTACACTGGAGCACACGGCATTGCAGTACCGTGCATTCCAATGCGGGCGATCACACTGCGGGTGGGAGGCACATTTGGGGTGCCATTGAAATGAATGGCACTGCAACGCACCTCCCACACCAGAATTTATCAGACTGAAACCGTAAATTACTTTTTTCCCACCTTTTTGTAATTGTTTTTTTAAATAATTGTAGTGTAAGCACATGGCGCTCGAATAGCTTCAGCCAGGGAATGACAGGTGCCAGTGGCAAGTTTCTGCAGTGGCAAGGTTCTGAATGTAAATACAGCAGGTAGGAGGCTGCTATTGGTCATTTTAAATTGCAGTAGCAGGCTGGCTATTGCACCCGCCCGCAGCTTAATAAGGAGTTTGTCACCAAGTGGTATGTCCCAACTGTCCATAAGGCCATTTCACTGTACCAGCTTAATAAGGAGTTTGGCACCAAGTGGTATGTCCCTACTATGCATAAGGCCATTTCACTAGGGAGTCTTTCTGGCCTCAGTGGATATCAAAGATGCCTACCTACCTATACCAATCTATGCTTTGGGGTGAGGCCTCAGCCACTACTGGTTAGTGTCATTTCCATGCGGCACACTTTTTTTTTTATGCACCTGGAATGTTTTAAGCTTATTTAAATTTTAATTGGGCTTCAAAGCATACAAAAAGCATTAAAATCTTGTACCCATGCGTATTACAAATGTGTAAAAATGCAAGAATTTAAATGTGAATGGGCCCATATGGTGATCTTCAGTTGATCTGGATAGTAAATAGATTTTAAGCAAAATTACTGTTGAATGTTGTGTGACAGCCCAACTATATTGTCTGTACTCTATTTACAGGGCACGCACTTTATTCAGCTGTGTTGTCAACGAAACATTCCTCTCCTTTTCCTGCAGAACATTACAGGTAAGTCTTTTGCTATCTATCATGATGAAAAAGAGTAATTTTGAACCCTTTCGCTGCCAAGGACGTACGGCATACGGAGCTACAAAAGTGCTTCCAGCTGGCCAGGTCAGTATGCCGTACGGACCTGGCATTTACAGTTCTACTATAAGCTGATGGTCGACCATCAGCTTATAGTAGAACTGTTCAGCAGACTGTCCCCTTTAAATTAATAGCTGTCATCACTGCTATTATCAAAAATACCGGGCGCCCCAGGGAGGGACACCCCAGGGAGGGATGAGAGACTCCATGGATCCCCGCTGCTGTTCGTCGGGCCTACAAATTTAGTATCACCATCTTTTTATTCTACCGTGCCTGCGCTTTCAGAAAATATATGGTTTGGAGGGTCTTTTACAAACACTAGCAACCCAGCAGTTGAAAATCAAATCAATAGGAAAAAAATGCAAAAATGGCTTGGCCAGCTGATTTGAAAAATGTTCCCGAGGGCTTGGCAGCGAAAGGGTTAAAGGACATATCCAACCATATACTGTACAGTATATACAAATATTCATTAATGTGTTCCTTGAATATGTCTTTAAAATGAATACCTGGCATCAGTTGAAACTAGAATTATTTGGTGGTATTAGATGGTGAGAAGGGATGTGCTTAGTGTGCTAACAGCAAGATGGGGCTTTTTGGGTATTATTACTTTTGTTACTTGGAGCTCTATGGTAAAGGTCACTGATAGTCCAAAGACCATGCAAGAAGCGAAAATTGAAATGAAGTGTGCAGAACTTTATTCTCTGCAAAGTTCATACTGGCACATATGCGCAAAATTCTGAAGAGAGCTTCCAGTAATAGAAGTGGCCTTGAGAGGTTGTGTCTAAATGAGCTGATGGATAATGAAATCTACTCTGATACTTTCAAAAAGCTGAGACCATCTATAAAGTTTATAAATAGTTATTTAGTTTGGTTGAAGAAAAACATTAATTCATCTTTGGTGTTATTACTTATAAAATGTTAATATCCAGTAATATTCCGAGAATTTAGGAGTTCATCCAGCTTTTTTCTAACTGTTGACTAAGCTGGCTAGAATTAGTGCCCAAGGGAGTCTATTCCACGTTTTTACAGCTCTTACTATGAAGAAGGTATTCCATATGCAATGAAATATGCAATATGAAAACCACCGACGTAAAGGAAAGGGTTAATACAACATAGTAACCCCAACTACTACAGTGTATTACATCATCTTTCAGGTACTGATACAGCTGCTATGCTGAGTGTCTTATTTGTGCTAAGACACAGTTACTCATCTAATTGTTGCGGCCATTCAGAGGATGCCTAGTATTTTTCTTAGTGAATACGAGATGTTCTTTGATTGGAAAAGGGGCAGTGACGTCATGACTGTGCAGTACTCAGTGCCTAAGAGGGCAGTCATCATGTCGGGATGGAGAAGTGTGTGCTTTAGGCCAGTTGTCACGTCGGGATAAAGAAGTGTGTGCATAGATCTGAGCAAGTGTAATAGTAATTACATAAGACCAAAAATATCTCCTACCTTGAAGTATAAAGGTGGGAGATATTTGGATACATTTGTGAAAGGTTAGAACCCCAGTCCAGTTGTAATTGCTATCTGTTTCACTACTAGAGAGATTCACCATCCCTATTTTGTCTTGGTAACCACTGTCTTTGGGACATAAAGAGGAATCCAAAATTTTGAGTTGTCACCGGAACATGAACAGATAAATCTTCCAATGGGGACACTTGTGTTGAAAGATTTCCCTCACTTTGGAGAGATTTCCTCCTTAGGATAGGAGTAACCCTCCAGTGACGCTCTTGTCACTCTGAAAAGAAATAGACACCGGCACTCCAATAATAAATCGATTACGTCTATTTATTGACGTACATCAAAAGCAAAATAACACACTTAGTGCGACGTTTCGGGGACACACAGGAACCCCTTCATCATCACTTGTTTTGCCTGATGAAGGGGTTCCTGTGTGTCCCCGAAACGTTGCACTAAGTGTGTTATTTTGCTTTTGATGTACGTCAATAAATAGACGTAATCGATTTATTATTGGAGTGCCGGTGTCTATTTCTTTTCTGCATCACTTTGACGGTGGCCATCTGTCGACTACTGAGCACCCAGGATACTTTGTTGGACGTGCGGTCAGGAGTGCAATGGGTACATGGACTGTCGCTCTTGTCACTCTGGCCCATTCTTACCATCTATGATTAATGGTGCACTTTTTTGTCTAGCCTATTTTTTGCTGTCATAAAATTTCATTTTATGATTTTTCATTGTAAAATGAGAAATACATCTTGTACTGGAACTTGAAAAGAGTTTGGCTCTAATGACACCAACAGCCATGCTATTCTTTGGACTAAGGTATGTTGATACACTAAATTTCAGGCAGAGGAAATATATTAAACCCTGGTGATATAGCACTTCCTGCAATTCCGCTCTAAGGACATTTTTATCAAAATGGGGAATGTGAATTCTACATGTGTTTTTTTATGGGGTCTATTTATAATACAGTGAATGTAGCTTTTACTAAACTTTTTCAGGTGGTGAATCAATCACTGTAATTTATAACACATGTACCTTAAAGAGTCACATGCTGTAAATGTTTTCTATTCAGTGTCTTATACAGGTGAAACTCGAATAATTAGAATATCGTGCAAAAGTTCATTTATTTCACTACTGCAACTTAAAAGGTGAAACTAATATATGAGATAGACTCATTACATGCAAAGCAAGATAATTCAAGCCGTGATTTGTCATAATTGTGATGATTATGGCTTACAGCTCATGAAAACCCCAAATCCACAATCTCAGAAAATTAGAATATTACATGCAATCAATAAAACAAGGATTGTACATAGAACAATATCGAACCTCTGAAAAGTATAAGCATGCATATGTACTCAGTACTTGGTTTGGGCCCCTTTTGCAGCAATTACGGCCTCAATGCGGCGTGGCATGGAAGCTATCAGCCTGTGGCACTGCTGAGGTGTTATGGAAGACCAGGATGCTTCAATAGCGGCCTTCAGCTCTTCTGCATTGTTCAGTCTCATGTCTCACATCTTTCTCTTGGCAATGCCCCATAGATTCTCTATGGGGTTCAGGTCAGGCGAGTTTGCTGGCCAATCAAGCACAGTAATCCCACGGTCATTGAACCAGGTTTTGGTGCTTTTGGCAGTGTGGGCAGGTGCCAAGTCCTGCTGGAAAATGAAGTCAGCATCCCCATAGAGCTCGTCTGCGGAAGGAAGCATGAAGTGCTCCAAAATCTCCTGGTAGACGGCTGCGTTGACCCTGGACTTAATGAAGCACAGTGGACCAACACCAGCAGATGACATGGCTCCCCAAATCAACACAGACTGTGGAAACTTCACACTGGACTTCAAGCATCTTGCAGTGTGTGCCTCTCCATTCTTCCTCCATACTCTGGGTCCTTGGTTTCCAAATGAGATGCAAAATTTGCTCTCATCAGAAAAGAGGACTTTGGACCACTGAGCAACAGACCAGGTCTGTTTTTCTTTAGCCCAGGTAAGACGCTTCTGACGTTGTTTGTTGTTCAGGAGTGGCTTGACAAGAGGAATACGACATTTGAATGGCCTTTTCCTGACAATCCTCTCCAAGCTGCGGTCATCCCTGCTGCTTGTACACCTTTTTCTTCCACACTTTTCCCTTCCACATAACTTTCTATTAATGTGCTTTGATACAGCACTTTGGGAACATCCAACTTCTTTTGCAATTACCTTTTTGAGGCTTTCCCTCCTTATGAAGGGTGTCAATGATGGTTTTCTGCACAACTGTCAGTGACAACTCCCATGATTGTGATTCCTACTGAACCAGACTGGGAGACCATTTAAAGGCTCAGGAACCCTTTGCAGGTGTTATGGCTTAATTTGCTGATTAGAGTGGGATACTTTGAGCCTAGAATATTGCACCTTTTCACAATATTCTCATTTTCTGAGATTGTGGATTTGGGGTTTTCATGAGCTGTAAGCCATAATCATCACAATTATGACAAATCACGGCTTGAACTATCTTGCTTTGCATGTAATGAGTCTATCTCATGTATTAGTTTCACCTTTTAAGTTGCATTAGTGAAATAAATGAACTTTTGCACGATATTTTAATTATTCGAGTTTCACCTGTACATATGTTCCTATGTGTATACCATTCATCGCAATGGGCCTGGTTAATGTGCCTAAATGTCCCAAAATGCAACTTGCCCAGTGCCATTAGCACCTCTCTGCCTTTTCCTCCGCCAGCATATTACCTCCCTGTGTCATACTTGTTCTCATATCATATCCCCTTCTATTATGATGTGACTACATTGCTTGCTACCAACTTGGGTCTCTAAGGCTGCATCTTTTAAAACACAAAGCAGGACAGCCGGATCATGTGATGTGAATTTTAGGGTACTTTCACAATTCATCTTGCATAAGTGAGGATTTCTGTTGATGTCCTCGGTGGTTTCTCTGCTGATCTGTTTGGTACCCTGACTTCTGTTTTACATTACACAAATTGGCAGTAAATAATACTGTTTGTAACATCAGCAATTTATTTTGCCTCTTTTAGGTTTTATGGTTGGACGTGATTATGAAGCTGGTGGAATAGCAAAGGACGGAGCCAAAATGGTGACCGCTGTAGCCTGTGCCAGCGTGCCCAAAATTACTGTTATTATTGGAGGCTCTTATGGGGCAGGAAATTATGGAATGTGTGGCAGAGCTTACAGGTCAGTGTTGAGCTATCTTGAATACCTTCACTGTTTAAAATGTAACTCATTTATTACATAAAAATGTAACCCTCGTCATCTAGTAAGTAGTGTTATAAACTGCAAACTGCTGGCTTAGATCTGGTGTCTTCATGCAATCATTGAGGAGGAGTTGCACACAGATTTCTTGTGCAAAGTATACACCGTTTACTGAATTGTATGGAAAGTGTATTCTATGGAGTTGCTTTTGCAAATGTTTCACAAATGTATAGAAAATGAGTAATTTAACTGTAAAACTGATAAATGAGGAAGACATTTTCAAAATCACTCTCTTGACAAGTACTGAAACCACAGAAAGCCAGGCAGCTAGTATTTTCAAAAGGTGAGCAATGACAGTCCCTGTATTTCTCTCAGTACAGTTTTTATGAACTGAAACAGAATTACGAATACTATGATCAATGAAAAACTAACAGCGCACCTGGCTGATTCCCATGGTAAATTTGTACACATATGGGAACTCTGGATAGCATATGCGAGCCCTCAATATTTTGATGCCACTCTAGTGTCATTTTCGCTCTAAAGTACCACATGTAGTGGAGCCTCCCCTCCCCCCCACTTTTCTACTTCCTCTCTTCCTGTACCCTGAAAAACATCTTTAATCATTCTTGATTTACTCTTCCTTTTTACAATCTTTTCTTACTCTCTTTTCTCGATCCTCTCCCCTTGCATTTTCTTTTTTTCTTTACAATATAGCTGACCTTTCGTCCTTTAGACCCCCTTGGGGAGGTTATGGTAACCAACCTACCCCATTATTAATCTGTCTAGGTAGTTTGGTCAACGAGCATTCCATCATTTTTATTATGCAACGTTTTTTCGTGATGTGTGTTCACACACTGTACTCATAATAGAAAGGAACATGATGATACTCCAGAGGCTTTATTTTCTCAATCTTTTCAATGTTACCCTACTGCTGGTTGTATGGTATGTTCCTAGTTATATTCGTATTGCTCTAATTTTTTGCTGCTTACAACTGCTGCGTCAGCCCACTGAATTTACCGTGCATGTTGTGTAATACGTGCATATTCTCTCTTTTCCAAACAATAAAAAGATTGTGAAACAGTTTTATGAACTGATTCAAGCTGTGTGTGTAGGCATTGGAAGCAAAGATCTTACAATTGTATTTAAAGGATACACTTATATATATATAGATGTATAGATATATATCTATATCTATATATATTTTTTTAAATGTAACATGTATTATCAGCAATCTAGTGGAAGTTAGTATTTAAAGCCCAACTCATAAAAAATAAGTTTTATATGATCCCCAGGCAGTCTGGCTGCAATACTCCTCTTCAATCCAGAGCTCTCTCCCACAGTACTACTTCTCCACCACAAGATGCCCTCAGTCTTCTGGGTTTAATGAAGATTGAGGGCATACTGTAAGTGGAGCATGTCATGGGCCCACCCCAATGGGAGTTAGAACAGCACATTTCCTTCACAGTGTTGATGCAGAGAGCATGCACTAGCGCTATCACATCACCGCTGCACTCTGCATCAGGATCACCCAAACTGAAGCCTGAAAAAAGGCAAAGAAGAAGAGGACCCTGAGGCATCATATAACTGGACTGAAAATATCTGAACAAGGTAAGAATTAATGTAAAGGTAAAAACAAAATACACAGAGAGCCACAAAGGGGGAGGGGGCACGGAGCTTGGAGTCATGTCGAGTTTTTTTGTCTGCATCAAATGTTTAATATGCACATCTTTTGTTTGTTATAAATCCATTTCATAAATAGTAAGCAGATTAACCAGCAGTACAATTCCATTAACAACCTTATTTATTATTTTATCATTTATTATTATTTTGCAGCCCTCGTTTCCTTTACATGTGGCCTAATGCTCGAATATCAGTGATGGGTGGTGAACAAGCTGCTACAGTATTGGCTACAATTGCTAAAGATCAGAAAGCAAGAGAAGGAAAGGCAGTAAGTATTAGAAGGCATGTCATGTATTTAATAAATATAGAAAAGTCAGGAGATAGATGATCATTAAACGTCACCAGAAAAGACACAAGGCCGGTCTTTGTGCCTGCAGGAGAAGAGGATTAATTCAGCATGTGGAAAGGCATGTGTAAGAGGTGTAAAAATGTGGATTGATGAATAAAAAGCATGGTTTTATTAAGGAGCTAGATCTGACTGTAAAAAATGAGAGCCAGGTATGGTCAACAATAGCAGCTAAACAGTTGCATGGAAGAATGAGGACATATGGTGTAGACCCAAGGCACTTTGATGAAAATGTTTAGGACATACAACGTATGCCTCAATTCTGGAACCCTTAAGATGGCAAGCAAATTAAAACCACATCACCATTGATTGCTTTGGGTTAATGGTAACCACTGTTGTTTGTACCATTTTATCAAATCTGTCATAAGTGTTTCAAGCACTTCTTACCCTTGTGTCACACAATAAACACTTACCAACAACTCTTCAAATGCTGAGCTACAAACTCAAAATTGTATAAACATTTATAGGCTGTTGAAAACAAATGTTAATTTTTCTTTTACAATATGCCTCCTAATTACCTGTTCCTAAAATAAATTTACAAGATGTACAATACAGTGTATTCTCAGTGATTACCAGAGCTCACATACTTCAGCTGCTATGGTTTGAGTGGTGGTGATAGGGGGCAGATTGATTGATTATAAATAAAAGTGTTTTTACAGGTTTACTCAATGTTGCATCAATGACACAAACTGCTTTAAAATGTCAGGCAAATATATATATATATATAATTTTTTTTTTTTTCTTAATTGGCTAGAACAGTGGTTCTCAACCTGTGCAACCTCAGGACCCACCTTTGTCCTTGGTCATTTAAGTCATGACCCAAGTCACACTGCACTGGAACACACGGCATTGCGCTATCATGCGTTCCGGTGCGGCAATCGAACTGTGGGTGGGAGGTGTGTTTTGGAGTGCCATTCAAATGAATGGCAATGCAACACTCCTCTCACACCAGAAATCGCAGGGGACTGTGCAATTAACGCACTGTACTAGTGTGAACGGGCCCTCAAAAACACTGATAGACACACACAACCACAGACACACTCCTAAAAAAAAAAGATCCACTCACTCTGTCTACCTTACGAGATCCTCAGACTGGGTCCAGTGTGGGCTGCTGTGCTGTGATGGAGCGCTATCCATGTGTGCATTGCTTGTACAGCTCCCTCATGTGCCCTGTAGAGGTGTTGGGAGCCAGAATGTGACATCACTCCAGTCCAGGCACCTCTAAAGGACACGTGAGGGAGGTGTAAGCAATGCACGTATGAATGGAGCTCCCTTGTGGCCATAGCTCCATCCCACCTCAAACTGACACTCGGCACCAGGCAGCATATTTTGAATGGCTGCTTGGCGTGAGAATTGACAGTGCTGCGCTACGGGGAGGCAGAGGAGCCTCTCACCTCGAAAAGTGGAAGGCATGACCCACTGAACAAGGGGTCGCGACCCACACCTGGGTCACGACCCACCAGTTGAGAACCAATGGGCTAGAATATTTACCTGAAATCTTATATTGAGTAACACACACCACCTAAAAGTTAAAATCAGGCTTGTAGTAGCAGTCCCTGGCATTAGCTGTATAGCATTGTTGATTTTTGTTCTGGGGTTTGGTGTTGGCAAGAGCTAAAAATAGCATTGCTGTCCCAATGTCCCAAAGGGATAAACTGTTCTCTAACCTGAAGCGACTGTTAACATTTTCCTTCCTCTATCTGGAATTTGAACCACCCCCTAAAACACGCTCTTAACAATTACTCCCACTGCAAACTCAGTTCTACACATATGCATACACTCATACCCTGTATATCTCCCTAGCAAGTGATTATTGGCATGTATATCTGTGTGCAATTAGGATACACTAAAAGCCGCTTAGCTTCCGTCATAGCTGGCCCACAATTTCCTTATCAAACAGGACTTCTTGGCACTAAGCATTCAAAGGAACCGGGTACTTGATCTTTGCAGTCTCTCTCTCTCGCATAGTCCAGCTTTAGTGTTGTCCCATGTTGAGGATTATATGACATTTTCATGACTGGGTTTAGATCTACTTTCAGTAGTGCAGCTTTCAGGTGTTAGAGTCAGATACAGTATTTTGAGTGTCAATAATCTGGTTTAAGTAGTTTTATCATGTTTGCCTTACCATGTTTTTCCTGTCATGTTACCAAATGTTACCAACATACAGTGAAGTAGTGCTATAATCTGTGGGCTACCATTTCTGGTTCTGCAGACAAATCTTTATATCTAACCTAGTCAAGTCAAGTTCCGCTTGAATATTTGAGCAGGTGCTACAGATACTCAATAACTAAAGTTTCAAGTAAGCTTTAACATGTTAATGTAATTTCCAAAATGTTTAAATCTGCAGCTTTCAATAAATCAATACCTAGGGATCCTGCCATGAACGTTTTTTGTTCAGGCACTTCCTGTTATACGGTGACAGTGCTCATTCCGTGTCACACAGTTTTGCTTCTGTGTTGTCGTCCTGTTACTCAAGCTTCCAATGGAGACTGCAACTGGCCATTTCAACACAAATTACACATGGTCCACTGTTCTCACCATCATGAAACACACCCATGTAGCCATCACAGAAGTGTATGTATGCAGAAAGAGGCGACGGGAGATCAGCAGCACTAAGATGTAACAAAGTATTTAAAAAAACATGGCAGTTGTTTGATGCACCATGCTTTAACAAACTAAATGCCATTTTGCTGTCATCTACTTTAAGAAATGAGTTCAATAACCCTGCAGCAAGTAGACTGAAATCTGGTTGCTATGGGTAACTACATATTGAGCATAGTCATTGCTCTTTGCCCATACTGCTGTGGAAAGAAAGGTATTTCATAAAGTGATTGATCTTCTTTGGCAGGCAGCTTTTCCTAATTTGGATGTGGATCTACCACATTGAGGTGGTATTCTTCCATCCATGTTCCTTTATACATCAAAGCACCGATTTGTGACATTGTTAATAAAAGATGCAATAAATTCAGTCGTTTGTCAGGCTTTGAAGGGAATGTGTTTTACTCATTTTGATAGATTAATTTAGGCTTCATGCCAGTTTCATTACTTAAGATTTTATATGATGTCAGAATGTGTCCGCTTGTTTGCATTCATATTACAAATGTAATTGTTTGCCCTGTGGTCATGTTCTGCGATACACTGAGCAGGCTTTTTGTTTCCTTGGTTTTCAGCGGCAGTCACAAGCTACGTTCCAATTGTATCACAGAAAATTATTTTAAATCATTTATTTTTGAGCTACACAGTATTTGAAACATTATTTTTTAATTTGCCAGTACTGTGTGTTCCTTTTTTTTCTACCCATCAACCTTTATACTCATGGCAATGACTTCTAAGATTTTAAAATAAAATCAGGACATTTTAATGTAAAAGTCCATCCAAAAAAATTTCTTTTCCCATTGTGTTAAGTTTGTGTTTGAAATCTTCAACATGAACAGCTTGCTAAAAAAGAAAGTGAAGCCTCTCCGGCTTTTTAAAAAATTACTTTAAGAAAATAATTTAGTTCACTTAGCTACAAAAAACTAAAATAAGTTTGTTGATAATTCTACAGAAAACTATACCAATTATAATTAGTAAGCTTATAAAAGCAACAGTGTCTAGAGTATTTGTTACAGCTGTTGAGCCTGTGGAATACACTTATGTGGCTTATTATTTTTTTGCAAGGCCAAGGCTGCTCTTTTTTGTTATGCAGTTATAAAACAAATTCCTGCTATGTACCTGAACTTGTGAATTGTAATTTGTTATCAAGGATGGTTTTAGAGATGATATACAGTATAATAGGATGCTAGTTACACGAACTCTAGGTGCACGTTCATCCAGTATATTTCAAACATAAATTGCTTAATCGAGTGATCACATCTGATCTCCACAATGGCTTTAATTGTTTGTGCAATTGTAAAAGATGGGCAGAGCAGAAGTGGAGAAGAACATGCAATTATATTAAAATTGATTTAATTCCCTGTCATACTGTAATAAAATGTCTATACTTTGCTGTTTTTGTATAACAGATTTCAGTTTGCCATATTTTCACTGGCTGTTCAAGTACCAGCGTAACTAATACAACAATGTAATTCTGTTATTGGATAAATTTTGACTACTGGTGGGAAATTTATCAAACCTGGAGCAGATTTTGGAGCAGTTGCCCATAGTAACCAATCCGCTTCTCTTCAGTTTGTTCTGTTAAGATTTGAAAATGAAAGATAAATGCTGATTGGTTGCCATGGGCAACTACTTCAGATTCTGTCTGCTCCAGTTTTGATAAATTCCCCTTGTGTTTAAAATATAACTGCTTCCAATATTATAAAGTATTTGAATTGTTTTGTGTTTTTTATTGGAAAAGCTGTAATTTTCAAAAGTGTTATACTAAAAGGGAGTTCTGTGTGCCACAGGCTTCACCACATAAATGAGTGGCCTTTATAGTATTAATTATAAGAATCATTAATACCTTTTTTCAAGCACAGTTGGTTTACATTAAGGTACCACAAATCTGCCATAGATGAAATGGGCAAAGCAAATGAACATGAACATTTACACCACTCCATGCTTTTATAGGCTAGCAAGCAATTGCGCTATGTTTAAGTGCACGTATGCATGAAATGCGTTAGAGATTTTGTCTGAGACCTATGCTGTATGCCGAATATTGAATTAATGATTACACACTGATCTTCAATTGATACTGGAGTGCCATATTTTCTTATAGTTAGTGTATTTTGTGGCTAGTTGTGAGCTGGTGTGTGTACCCTGTCAGCAAATCCAAGTGGACCGACTTGGAGCAGCACCTAGTATGTATGCTTTGTAAGCCAGTAATTATTGTTTCAGAATTACAGTTTTATTAGGACAAAGGCCTTGAATATGTACGAATTCACATAACCAACCCCCAAGTCCCTTTTGCAGCTGTAGAACTACAATAGTTATTTACTCTATGGATGCACATTTTACAGCAACATAACCAATTCAAATTTGAAACCCTTGTGCCATTTTGCAACCAAATATGAATGAGGTAATATTGCTTTTAATAACTCAGCATTAAATGTCAAAAACATTTAAAAATGTCAGACAGTAGCATGTCAGTAGTAAAAAAAAAACATTATTAAGTATTAACCTAGATTAAACCTAATTTATGTTTGAGTTTTCCTTGGTGTTTTTTTAACTTCATTTATAGTTAAGCATTTGCAATATTACAAATTATGTTTTTGTCCATTTACACAAAATACATGTAACTAATACTTGGCTCCTAGCCATTTTCAACTTTCTAATTATGAAGCATTTTTTTTTTTACATATTCGGTCATTGATCATTAGGTGTACACACTAGGTAAAATGTCACTGGGATTTCATTAAATCACTTTACTGTATAGGCGTATGTGAAGATGAAATCAAAGAAATGAACGATAAACATTGGACCGCGGGAAGTTTTTTTTCTCGAAGAATCACAAAAATATATGACTGTGCTGAATAATAAATCCTGAAACAAATGCTAAAAACACAAAAGAGATATTCTCTTTAGCATTTATCAGAAATGACAAGTTTTGTGTCACAGGAGATACATCTGAAAAGACAGGATACATTCATGTTGTCAGTATTAAACTCCATGTTTCATCAGTCAGAAATATATCACTGTGGCACATAACATGCATTGAAATATGGGCTCCTATAAAAAGCCTTGGTAGATAAGCATGGGGTACGCCAAACAGAATTCTTACATATACAAATAATCAGTTTATATGTACATTTATTACAGTTTATTGGTAACACTATTAAGTGTAGTACATCGTAACTACACAAGAAATAATACATTCCTAATACCAGCATAGGTTATAAAAAACCCCAAACCTGGAAAAGATATCTACAGTAATATTATAATATGATAAGATCTTATAAAGACCCCAATGGTAATGGTTCTGAATAATTCAGTAAAATAATAACTACCTCACAGTTAAGCTGCCGATACAGTGCTCAAATGGTCCCGGTTGCACCCCTCCATTAGACAAAAGTTGATTTTTCAATTGACTTTTGTTGAAGGAGCCATTCTGAAAATTCTCAGCTGAACAGGGCCTGCATCCAGTCAGACGCAGGCACTGTTCAGCTATTCAGTGGTTGTTGAATGTAATAGACGGCACCCGGGATTCCTAAATCCATGCTGTTTAGCATGGATTGGGAATCATTGAGTTTTTGCCCACAGACAGAATGAAAAGAATGTGAAGTGTGTATGTCCAGATTTAGGTGAGCAGACTTGTTACTGTTGTGCCTGTAAAGTGATCTCAGAGTTACTTTAAGTAGAAAAAAAAAAAAAAAAATATATATATATATATTTATATTGTTCCTAGGACTAGCATTCTCTTGTGTTGCAGCTCATACAGGTTGTTTGTTAAATTAATTATGTTATATGTATGTGTTAACGGCTTTTTATACATTACTATATTAGTTTTCAGAAAAAGAAGAAGCTGCTCTGAAGGAACCAATTATTAAAAGATTTGAGGAGGAAGGAAATCCATATTACTCGAGTGCTAGGTGAGCTATCAAGAATACAATATAGACATGTCCATGTTTAGATTCTATACTATATTGTAGTGTTTTTGTTAGTGTGCTTGGATCTCCTCAGTCGGCTACAGTATATTTGAGTTGAAGTTTAAATACATATTTTTAGATATATCACTTGGCTAATTACTAAATCTAGAATTTTAATCATTTTGAGTTTGTTTTATTTATGTAGTCATGCCCTAAAGGCTTGTTAACATGGTGTCTGCAGCCCTGCCTCTGCCTAGCCATGTGTTCAGGGAAGAGATGGAGGACAACATAGAACCCTGCTATTCTGTGTGCAAAGTTATATTCTCTGATGCCACTGATCCCGCTACTAACAGACTTCCTTAAACATGAGAATTTTAGAAAAATCATTATGGCAAAGACTGAGTGGCGGACAGACCAAGGTGTGTGCTTATGTTCCTGTATTGTGTGGAATCGGAGCATCCAGGTGGAAAACCAGAGACGTTTCAATGGTTTCAAGTTCCTGGGACACGCATTCAAAACATGAGACTGTCCCTGGAAATCTCCAAAACACAGTGCAAATATAATCACATGGCATGCACATGTATGTGTGCCATGCATTCAGTTACCATGAAAATTTATATTTAATGTTTAGTCCACTTTAAGTATAAAACCTGATTGGTCATCTTGGATGGCTACTGCACATTTTTCCTTAGTTTTCTTCTTTCAGAGTCACATATAAGTAGACACTTTTTCAGTAATATTGTTCAACTCTTGCAGTGCAGTTCCCCCCACCTTATCTGGCCCATCAATATCTGTGTGTTTTCATGTCTTTTAATTATAAATCAAATTAAAGGCTAACATTCATTGAACAGCCTGTATTTATGAGAGTCATTAGTAAGCTGTTGTCCTATTAGTATTTACCTGTCTACATCTCTTTACATGTGGCGATCAATTACCAAATTACAGTCTCTTTTCAGACCATCTCTAGAAAGATCTGGGTAATGAATATTTGATAACCTGTGTGAATCATGATCTCTAGGTTGGGTGAAGGCTAAATATTTAAAGGGTCTCTTTAAAGATGAGAGTTTTGTGCACATTGTGCTACACCAACCTGAGCTATGCACACAGCTTCTGAAAAGTGCCAGCCCAATAATTTGCTTAGCTTCCCTTATCCAGGACTGCAATAGAAACACTGATGCTCCTGCATATGCCACCCATGTGATCTCATTCTTAGTGCCCTGCAAAGCAAAATGTATGTGAATTGTTTTAATGGCAGTACTATGGTATCGTAATTGTTTACATAGTCATTTGGGCCATTAAAAATGCACAAAGAGCAGTGATGTGCAGCCAACTATGGCAACCACACATGAGCTGTTGACTGTAATTGGTCATATTCTTTGGGGAACTGCACTGTGCAGCATGCTTTTTCATGTTTCACATAAAAAAACAATTTAACATTGCCATAAGTATTTAAAAACACTGTTTACCCAAAAATAATAATATATTGAGAGATTAGGCTATTGGTTTAGTGGTTCTGAATCATGTTTGTTTTTTTACTTAAGTAGATTGCCAGATATGTCCCCATAACCCCATCACCATTCTGTCAAAATCATCATCATCTGTCCTATTTGGTACCAATATTACTTCAAAAGATGTCAATAGTTTTATTTTTTTATTACAGATAGATAGGTAGTGTAGGGTAGACAGGCTCATCGTCGTCAGCTGTCTTATTGGGTACCAATATTGGGTACCAGTATGACTTTAAAAGATGTCAATAGCTTGGTGTTTCATTACAGATGGATAGGTAGTGTAGGAAGGACAGGCTCAACCAGTATTGGCAGCAGTAAACCATGCAAGAAACAAGAACACCCAGGAACAGTCCATGCAGGTTTGTCCTGCACATTTATTCAGCAAGGCAATAGACAAACAGTTTTAATGCAGGAGGGCTTTGTGCAGCAAGTTCAGAGCATAAGCAAAACCATAGTCCTAGCAACTAACTATACAAATTATACTTGTATCTTTTTAGTGTTCTGTGGACAGTCAGCCTTCTCACCCAGTAGCAGGCTTCCATAGCAGAGAGAGCCCTAAGCACCAGTCTGCTCACATATACAGAGACATGTGTGTAGATGACACCAATCATGAGGTCTGTCTACCAGGAAGATATGAACCTAGGATGCTTTATTCCACTACAAAACTCTACAAAGTCTGCACATCAGTCACAAACCCTGGAACCAAAACAGGAACGGAGCAGCTAAAAGAAAATCAGACAGATCAGACTGATATGATAAACTTCTTCAAGTGCACACCTACAATAAAATAACAGTTTTGAATGAAGTTAAGCTTACTGTATAGCTGTGACATCTGTGACAGCTGTTTTGGCCAAAAACTAGAAAATGGATGTGATCATAATAACAGCTTGAGCCTCCTATGTCCTGCGCTGCCCTGAGGGTTTAGGTTTGGTAGTGGCACCTTGTCACAGCAAGCAGCTGACACATATATTTGAATTGTATGCAACAAAAGCTTCTCTATTAAAAAAAAAAGTAACACAATTGATAGGTCCTCTAAGTTCTGGGTAAATCTACACTAGTTTGAAATTGATCTGAAGCTTTTTTGTCATTGGCTCTACCAAAATCCATTTTTGTCCACCATCCAGAACACTTCAGCTTTAAAGGTAATGTTTTTATTGTACTGCGGATGGCTTAGATGCTACAGCCAGGGTAAATACGTTCTAATGAAAACCTTTCTGCACTGAATATGAGGCGTATTTGAAAACTAAAGACAAATGTATACATCTGCTTACTCTATTCTGAACAGTTAAGAAATGACAGTGTTTAAATTGGAATGGGAAAAAACAGTCCAGCAGATTCTATACTGTTTATTATGGCTTTCTGTTAGATTGGGCACAGCAATGCTTTTGTTCCGGTCCAGTGTGATCGCAAAAAATTGTGCTTGTACTATTTGTTGTGATCGCACTAGACTGGAACACAGGCAATGATGTGCTACATGTTCTGGTGCAGGCGAGGTGACTTGAATGGCCCCAGAACACAGGAAGCAGGCCAGGATGCAACCCTGTGCGCTCCAGCAGCTAACCGCGCTGGAACGCACTGGAAGTGGGTTGAACCTGCCCTGACACTATTTATCATAATTAAATGGCAAATGTTATGCCATGGAGGAGGGAAGTAGTTGGTTACTGATCATTACTTCAATGAAAGTCTTCAATGGTGTTTAACAGCTGATTCACACTAGATGCGTTGGGGCTGCACTGGCTGCCTTTTCCACTGCAGCCAAAATTCACAGACAAATCAAAATGCCTTGCTTACTGTGAGCCCAGTTCCCACTACCACGTTGTGGTGGACTGCGCTGAAAATATGTGCTGCATGCAGTATTATTGCACAATGTACCATACATTGATCATATGTTTCTGTTGTATCTGCAGGTTATGGGATGATGGGATAATTGATCCGGCTGACACCAGGTTGGTCCTGGGACTGAGCCTCAGTGCTGCTCTAAATGCACCAACACAGAAAACTCAGTTTGGAGTTTTCAGAATGTGATTCGCTCCGGAGCCTAAGCCAATACTGCAATCTGTCATGGACTTGTCATTTATAAGAGCTTTCTATCATGTAAAATAAAATTTGTATATAACATATTTTATGCTTTTTTATATAGTACAGAAATGTTAAAAGCAACCTAATAAGTGAAAGGACATTTTTACTCTTATGTTGATCATGCACTGTGTGTTTAACTGCAAAGAAATATGGGGAGAGTGAAATACACTCATCCCCATAAGTAGAGCCGATGTGTGAAACTGAAGCTGTCACAGGTCGGCTCTATTTATCAAGAACTTGGTGATCACATACCACTGATCACTCAGGTCCCGATCATCTCCCTGCAGAGAGCGGTGACTAACAGTCAATGCTCCCTGCAGGACCCCTCCCCTCTCTCTGTTCCTCCAGAGCTGACTAGAGAGTCAGCTGTCAATCAGGTAGCGGGGTGGATCCCAACAATGTTGTTGGGATCCATACCAGGTGCAGCGTGGCTCTGCACTGTCAGCATATAGCGTGTAATAGCCTGCTTTTTGCTGAAATTTGGGTCACAGGAGGACATTAGTATATGTGCTCCTGTGACCCTAGAGAGAACTTTGTAAAAGAAAAAAGGTTGGACCATAGTTCTCTTTGAATTGCTTGTTTTTGTCTAGGTGATAAAAGGTAAGGGTTGAGTATAACTTAACCCTTGTAGTGTGGGGGTAGCTCAGCTGCAAGGGTTAACAGAACTTTTTCCTGGAGTTCTTCTTTAATACAATAAGTAGTCTAAACCTGGCCATACACTATACATGATCTGCAGATATTCTATGGTCAGATGGAAAAAGTGCAACAGATTCCTCCATCTTTGCTAAACTGTGTGGATGGAGGGATCTGTTGCACTTCTTCCATCTGACCATAGAAAATCTGCTGATAATCTATAGATGTATGGTCAGCTTTAGTCTCAGTACCACTTAGACTGGAGGAAGAGAGTGGCTCTCCTGAAACCTTACCCTAAAAAGTTAACTATTAGTGAAAACATGGACTAGAGAAAGCAGAGGAGGGAGTTGCCTGAGGAGATCAGAAAGAAAATTATAGGCCAGCATGTCAAAGAAAGCTATAAGACCTTGATGTTCCTGTCACTACAGTTGCAAATATTATTAAAACGTTTAAGGTCTTTGGGATTGTAACCTTCCTGCAAGAGGAAAATTGACCCCAGTTTGAATAGGATTGTACAAATGATAGACAAAGAGCCAAAAACCTCCAAAAAGATGAAAGGTGAACTCCAAGGTACATCAGTGTCACCATCCTGTAGTTTTTTGTGCAACAATGGACACAAAGGAAGATGACCCAGGAGGGCTCCAATGTTGAATAAAAAAATGCTTTTTGGGCAATTGATTCTATATCGAGGGACAGCGACCCCCAAAGCCATTACGCTTTTAAAATCCCTTTACCATACACCCTCTAAAATTTCATCTATTACAGACTATAAATCACAATACCTTCATATACATAGATGTACTCCACAAGGATTCCCTCTTTTATTTGCTGATGATATTATAATGCTACTTACCTTCCCTATGCTACTTATTCCAAACCTATTAAAAATGATTGCAAGAATTTTCTACAGTATTTAGGTTTGCAATAAATTGTTGTAAGTCACAGATCATTATTCTCAAATTAGATGAACAAACTGTAAAGATATGAATGTCTGTCTTTTTTTCCATTCAAATGGTCTTCCTCATCTCTTTCTTGGGAATACATTAAACACCATCCTTTCATACACTTTATCACTTAAACTAACCACCTCTATTCAAAAAGTTGACCTGGATATATAGTAATTTTCACCACCTTCAAGGATCAGACATCTTTATAGTGTGTATAAAGAAAGATTAACATTCTCCCTAAATATACTTATTTTTTACCATACAAAAACATATTTAAAAAGGCAGCTGTGTGACTAACCGAAGTGAAGTGAGCCGTACGCTTTTCGGCTATTCACTTCAGGCTTGTACAGCTGATTTTAGCCGTACATCGGCTGGCTTCAGGTCAGCCGAACATGCACAGCATGTTCGGCCGACCCGAAGTGCAGAAGGAGTTCGACTCAGCCGATCCAACATCTGGATCGGCTGAGTCGAACCTCTAGCAGGCTACTCACTGCTGTTCTGCCTATTCTCATAGGGGCCGAGCAGCAGTGAGTGAATAGCCGAATGCCGCTGAGCTGCATTTGGCTCGGCTATTCTGCTCAGTATCTCCGTGGTACCGAGCAGAATAGAAAAACAGTAAAAAAAAAGGAGAAAAGGATTGGGCGGAGCTAGCAGTGACAGCTAGCTCCGCCAAAACTGTTTTCTATTGGCCGTGACCAGCTGTCATTACAATGAGAGCTTGGCGGAGCCGGTGGTGATATCAAAACCGGCTCTGCTGAGCTCTCATGATAGTTCAGCGTCTCCTGGTTAGCTGGCCGTGATATCAAAGCCGGCTCTGCTGAGCTCTCATTGTCAGGAGCCCACACTCGCAGGCAGTCGCACAGCAGACCTGAGCAGCCAGAGGAAGTGGAGAGGAGCCGCTGCTGCTGTCAAGGTGGAGCCGACAACTATTCCCTGAGGGAGCGAAAGAGCCGGCTCTGCAGAGTTCTCATCGTAATGACAACCTGGTAACCAGGGACCGCTGATCTGTCGTTGCAAGTGGCGGGAGCCAGCCGTGAGATGACGGTTGGCTCCGCCCAGCTGTCAGTAGCAGGCTTTCACCTCGGCTCAGTCGAGCTGAAGGCACATGCCTTCGGCTCGACCGAGCCACTCGGCCAACTTCAGGAGCTGTACGGGCCCGAATTAGCCCGTACAACAGCCCTTTGGTTCTACTGAACCAAAGGGCTCAGGCGGCTGAAGCTAGCCGAAGGATCAGCCGTAGATACGGCTGATATTTCGGCTAGCTTTGTGAATAACCCCCTTAGATTCATTTCAATAAAAACTCTATATTCCCGTGCGAAAAATTAATCCCAGATTTATCGGGCATACTCTCTATGCTTCGGTAATGCCAAACTATCTCAAATATTTTCTATTTGCTCAGATAGGCCTGTCATTTTTATACAAAAGACATCCTGCCTCAATAGGCTCAAATTGAAACTCAAGCTTGTTCTCCATCAACTGATATGGTCATGTGAATTACACCTAATTGCTGACCTGCTGCTATACTTAATCGCTCTTTATTCCAACTCACTTGCATTATGGGATAAACTAAACTCTAAACGTGATCTTCAGCCTCCTAACTTTCCATTAGCCCCTATGCTTCAAAATCCTAATTTTATTCCAGGACTCCAACTTAGTGAATTTGGTCCTACTATGGACTGCAGATTACTACACAGGGTACACTAACAATTAATTTGTGAAAAGAATATGAACTTCCACAGGAAGCAAGCTATTGTAATCAAATTCTAAACCTTATTAATTCAAACCCATCTTGTATTGTAGGGGATAAAATGCCCCCTTTGAATTCTTATGCAGACAGTTTAATAAATACTCTAGGCATTTTACTTCTTATCCAATGACAAAATATCTTATATGGTTAACTTGTAATTGGACCCAGGAGAAACTATAGATCTTAAGAACTGGCTTACATTGACAAAAAGAACCTCTTTGAATACCACAGTCATTAAAAATAACGATAAAGATAATGCAACATTTTACCACACTTGGTGGACTTGTCTGAAACTTGTCTAGACATTTGGGTAATACATTTTTTAATAACATTCATCTAGTGGCCGAAATTACAAAGTCTTGGAATTCACTGTAATTACTTTTGATTGAATATTTTTTTTAATGATAAACTCTCAACTATTTTAAATAAAACGGAAGACTACCAGAAAGTCTTCACTATACATCCATTCATTCATCATATATTTTCATTTTGTATCTCACATAATATATCCCACAATTCTCTTTGTTTTTGTTTTTTTCAGACATTATTTTATTAATTTTAAATTAATTATTCTCTTGAATGAAAAAATCTAAAGAAAAGTTTGATTTCCATTAAATATGGAATAAACTGGTGGATGTCAATTATTTTTCTTCATGTGATTTCAGACAAAATTGCGGGTTCTTTATTAAGAGAAGGTTACTTACAAATTTGTCCATGGCTGTATGTATTAACCCCTTGCTGTCCGCCCATCGTAAAATTACGGGCGGACGGCGGATCCTTCCCGGCGGGGTCACGTAAATGTACGTCTTTTTTGTAAATGGGCGCGCGCGAGCAGAAACCCACCGGGAAGGATAACAGCCGTTATTGGCTGTCTCATATAAGCATTCGGCTGGCTCTAAAGCCGGCTGATTGCTTGTATAACCCTAAATTGTGCAGCGCCCAAGCTGCCGCGCCCTTCCCCCTCTGTAACCGATGCCGGTTATCCCGGGCACCGCTGTCCCCCCTGCGGTGCCCGGGACTGACAGAACCGCTACAGCGGCTGCTCAAAGAGAGGAGGAGGAGAGATCAGCATTTCCCACCGCTGATCTCTCTCTCTAAAGTCGGAAGCGATGTGTATTACATCACTTCTGCATTTAGCTGTCATTTCTCTGGCTCCATCTCTGCTTCATCAGCTTCTTTGGGGGTCCCTAGGGGTCTTGGAGACCCCTGATGTCTCCATTTAGAGGACCATTTAGAGAGGGCTTTTTAGCCCCCAATGTGATAGCAATCAAGTTAAGTGTAAAAAATAATTCTAACAAAAAAAATTAAAGTCTTATATTAAAAAAAAAAAAAAAAACCCCAAAAAAGTTTTACGTCCCCCTTACTCGTACACTTTTATATACGTAAATACGCGAAGGGCGCGCCTACGTGCAAAAAAAACCGATTGCGCCGCACATGTTATATATCGCAGCGAACTTCGCAGTGAGAGCAATCATTCTAGGCCCATCAATCACTGATAACACTAAACTGATGAGCGGTAAAAACGTTTAAAGCGTCGCCTAATACCAATTTTAGGCATGGTAGTTTTTTTGCGATTTTGTGTGAGCACGCAATTTTAAAGCTTGACATGTTTGGTGTCTATTTACCTGACGTGACCCCGTCTTTTATATTTTACCAAAAAATTGGGTAATAATAAATGTTTTATT